AACCAGGGAACCAGACCAATAGGGCGACAAAGAGTTCGATGGTAAGACATCCCGACAGTCCCTGACTGTTAAAAGGCTTTAAATGCTACAGAGTCAGATACTTCAGATTTACAAATTCACCCAAAACAAAGGAAATCCGGGAACGTTCACTATTCTAGGGGTATTATTGTTCGAAATGAACAGGGAAGTGATAATTTAGTGGGAGAATAACAAGAGAACGCATGCGTGCCCTGGCACAAAAGAAGCGGATATTTGTGAGCCCCAGAGACACTGACTAACCTTGATCCTATCCCATAACACCCATAGAAATATTGGGACTTTCCTTGGAACTCCCGGATTTCCTTTGTTTGAAGTGAATGAACATTAAAGTACCGAAATCCCCCTAAAAATTAATCTTCTGATAGAGAAGTCGTCCGACGATCTGTCTGACAAACCTCAACACCTCAGAATAGAAAAGGATCAAGAACGTAAGTAGGTAGGGGACGTTTTATCGGTGCAGGACAGGGTGTTTGTGGCGAGACTTCTCTCTCAGCGGATCAAGAAACGGAAATGTTCAGCAAGACTGCACGGGTCACGAGTTGCAGGGAAACGGGTAGGGGGTGGAGGCATTCAGGTTGCCAAAAAAACTTGACTTTTACTTCCACGACAATTGTAGGGGTCAAGGACGTTGGCGTACTTTATATCAACATTCATGCAGCGTATCCCAGGCCACTTTTTAATCGACAGGCCTAACCGCTCCGGCCTGTTGAAGTTAGTTGCGAATATTTTACAGGAGGTTGCAGAACCAACCTCAGGCTTTTGCTGGCTGTTGTGGTTTTTCTAGGCATATGCTACGTTCAGTAGTATGTCATTTCTTCCTGAACGATTAGGGCTGGATACTGTCGGAAACCAACGCAAGGCCCGCAGCTGGGATCGAACCCGGCATTACGAATCGTTCGCATTGACTTAGCCACAGAGCTGATATATATATATATATATATATATATGTATTTTTTTTTGTCCTACAGCCTTATTATTATTATTACTATTATTATTACCATTATTAAACACTTAAACAAGCCTTTTGTAGAGAGGTACCCCTGCAACACTCGTAAGGGGCCTAATGTATGTTTGCTTATGATCTACATTGGCTCGATGGCTATGCATTGTGTTCAGGTCCCCTTGGTGGCTGATTTAAAAGAAAATTATTATTCGTTTTTTTACCGGCTGTAAACTCTGGTTGTTCGGGCACGCGAGCACTCTGGTCTTTTTCCAGAACTTGGCGTTTTGCGTGTAGATTACTTTTACAGATCTGGCTAACCTGGCTTGTCTGTATGCAGACTGTTAGTTTCTTGCAACACATGCAGATACAGGCCGACTTTGAAGGAAATAATGCTGGTCTTCTAAGACATGCCAAACGGGGAGGGGGTGGGGTATGTTCTCCCCCTCACTCTCTTTGTCTCTCCCTTCCCCCAAAGCAGTCTGAGACCCCGATCACACAAGGAGAGGTTTTTATTAGGTTAACACGAGTCCCCACTTTTCCTGGTAAAATTGTTACAAAAATAAACTGGGAAGTAAAGGCGGTCGGTGTGAAGGACCAAACTGGAATTTGAGAAATTTTTCCCTGAAAGCCACAGCTAAATAAAGGAAACCCTAAAATACGTGCAAACACACTTAAAGATCTGTGGCTTAGGCGTTGCGAACGCACTTACGCAATGCCGGGGTGCCGGGCTCGATCACAGCTGTGAGTTTTGCGTTGGTTTCGACAGTGGTATCAAGAAGACGACCGCCCAGAAAGCAGTGGCAAACTACTAGACCTAAATTTGTCTAGAAAAACCACCACAGCAAAAAAAAAATGCTGCGGTTGGTTCTGCAACCTCCTGTCAAAGGATACGCAACCTAACTTTTTTTTTCAACACCGAAAGAATGGATTAAAAGACCCTTTTTGTGTATTGGGCAAATTGAGCAAGGCCTATATAGACCAATTAGCAATGCATGTATAGCTTGGAGTTGTGCTGTTTTTGTTGTTGTTGTTCTGAAGAAAATAGAAAGCGACTGAAAGCTTGTATATTATCATCACTGATTGCGGAAGATATATCAGGGGGAGCAACTGTTACAGTCTGCCTCCTTCAATGTAAATGTAACCCTCCGGGAGCACAGTTCCAGTGTGTGCCAAGAGGAAAATTCATGATTACAGAAGGCCGGCACACATTTCTGCAACTGTGGCCATCTATTGATTGACTGGCGCCTTTGCAGACGATAGTGTTATTTTGCGCTGTAAGGAGGCATGGGACTCACAGCCAGTGGCGAGGACGAGTGTGACTAGCAAGATCTGCCAGCGCTAAGAAAAGTCTTCCACAATTATAGCATGGGATTTTTAGGACCGTTATTGTCTTCATTTGCGTTTAGTCTGCTTCTTCTCAAACGCTGAACTGTCATCCTTTCTGCAATCATGTCCTTTCCGAGACCAATTTTGGCCAGGGAAGAAGTTCATCCTCTCCATAGCACAAAGCCTGGACAGTATTGTAGAGACTACATATTACCCATGCATCATGATCCTTTTTCTGCACCTGTCTTGTTTGCTCCAGAGGAAAGGTAACACTAGTATGTCGGAAACAAAGAAGGCTGCCAAAGCTGCCGGATCAGAAGAGAAGTTCTCTGACTGTCCGCCTGTCGCAGCTTCCCTACTAGAACAGCTGCCAGCCAAGGCTAAGGGCCTGGTCTGCCCTGCCATAACATACAATTTTTATGTTGCATGTCCTCTTCTTAGGATAAGGCTAGTATCCTCCCCAATGCGCTCCTTCGCCTGGTCTGCCCTGCCATAACATACACTTTGTATGTTGCATTTCATCTTCCTATAATAAGGCTAGTATCCTCCCCAATGCGCTACTCCGCCCGAATCTTCTGTTGACAGATAACCAGTAAGCTGAAAATGGTGAACGACCACCGACAGAGAGGAGAAAATTGTGACGGGGATCCTAATTTAAGCGCCTAATAATAATAAAAATAATGTGCCAAATGCTAAATAAATGTGACATATTTGAAATAGTATTAAATGTACGCCAATAATTTTTAAGAGAATGTCTATTCATGGTTAAAATTTTATTCTTAGCTCCATAATTAAATATTCTTTAACAATAATTGCCTATAATTTGGGTGGGGGCGAAGTCGGGTTGGATTTAAGGCGCGTGAGTGGCCAGGTCTCCGCCGCGGTCAAGTAGTGTAGACTAGCTGACTCTGACTGCGTGTGTATTGATCGGTGATGCTGGCCGTCTTACTTGGGCAGTTAACAAACTGCTTAAGCAGAAATGTCACGTCTCTTCTTATTCTTTGCGTTCATTCTTTGCGGAAAGTTGTGGTTGTTCGTCCACTTCTTGAATTTAGTCTTGTTCCAGATCCTGATGTTTGCGTGCATACCCGTTAAAATATATATACAAATCTGGCTTATTTTTATGCCGACTGTTGGTTCTTCGCCCCCCCCCCCCCCCCCCAGGCAGATGCACTCCGACTACAAAGGAGACACCCTCATTAGTGGACTCTTACAGCATGCTTGTTTGGGAGCAGTGGGTCATTCTCCACCATCCCCCTCCACCACACAATTAGACCCCTGAACCGACAGGGGGAAATATCTTGTGATGTGAGGTGATGAATGGTGCTTCCTTACCAGGCCTGGGTGTTGGGCAGGGGCTGGGATTTATGGTCAGTCCTCACTTGTAAAAAAGGCCGTTTTCCACGCCTTCAAGCGATTAGGCATATTAGGCTAGACCTATATTTTATGAACCAGTCATTTGGTAGTTGATGTGGTCAGCACCATGACCGCCGACCTCACATATGCGTCGTCGACCTGGGAGCCAAGGTTATTTTTGAAAAAAAAAATGGTCAGGCTTCTTCAGGACTTGAACCCATGATTTTCCGATCAGCAGGCGAGCTCTAGCCGCTAGACCATATCTCTTTTCTCACACGAGGCTTGAAAATGGGGTGGGGGGAAATGCAAGCAGAGTGAATGCAGTAGCTGACTTGCCAGCAGTAGCAAATCTGTGAGGGTTTGGAGGGATGGCTAGCGTGTTCATGACTTGTTTGCTTGTGTCTAAACGCTGAACCACCGTCTGTCTATGCCCTTTCTCATTGTCATTATCTACCCACTACATTAGGTCTTTCAATCGCATTTCAACTCTTTAATGATTTATTTCTGATTCATGGAGCTTTTCAGCTGCGGACAGCAGTCCATCTAAGGAAGCACAACAAAATAATACTCTAAAGTCTGAAGTGCTGGGCGAAAGGCGTAGGGAGACCTGTTAGAGTGGAACCCTTCACAGCTGAGTACCTCCAAATAATGCCATGGAGAGTTGAAAGTCTGGCAGGTTGGCATTCCAGTGGAAACCAAGATGTATGGAACAGTGGAAAACTCAGTAAAGGCCTGTAGCCTTCTCATCTGAAAACCACTGACAGGGAGAATGAACAGAAGAAAGAAATAATTTATTGAGTCCTAAATAATTTTAAATAATACCTTTGGGGACAAGGGCAATTTAAGTAACAGTTAGGATAGAAAGCTTTAATAGCAAGAAGATAGGAAAAACAACAACAAAACATAGCATATAGGGGGAGCTCTAATACATGCATTGATCCTTGTGCAGGTTCTGGGGCCCAGTATGCGAGGGGTGGTGGGATGGGTAGACTCACTGCCCCGCTAACGAGCATGCCATAGATGTCGACTAATTAGGGGGTTTTCTTTCGAAGTCAAAGGGCATATCTGCCTGAGAGGCAAAGAACCAGCAATCTGCTTACAAGTAAGCCAGGTCTGTAAAATGGATGTGCATGCTAAATTCAGATTATGGAACACGACTGAAAGTCCAGAAGTGAACAAAGGACCAGAACATCCTTCCTGAATGTACCATGGATGCTAAGAAAAAAAAAACACACATGGTAAGCAGCTAGATGCTGCGTTTATTGAGGCTGACATGTTTACTGTCTCTGTGATATTTCATGAATGCTTATGTTTTCCTCTTTGGTATTCTCTCCAGTCATGGGACTCCTACTTCCGTCAGACAGCTCGTGGAGCTCCTCCAGGTCAAGCCTATATGGCTCCACCAGCTCTCCGCCCAATGACCTCTGCAGTCACAGCTGCCTATCCAGGGCATGCTGTGGAGCAAGGCCTGCCAGTGGATGAGAAAACTATTGAGGATCATCTCTCTGTCCAGTCCATTATCCGCTCTTACCAGGTAATGTTCTTACACAACAGAACCCATAAACAAGTGAAGACGCGTTATAATCACAATGCCCAACCCAAGGAAAAGCATCACATCACATATTGACGGATATACCTCAATGATAAACAAGTACAGATATCAGTTTAAAATCATTCATGAACACATGTATAGGATGTTTGAAAATATATATATATATACATCTAAGGACCCATTCCCACGCCTTCAGATGTACTTGGTATACAGGACCAGACCTTTATTTTAAAGACCAGGGGGAATGTGGGAGCTAGTTTGCAAAAAAATTTATATTGGTCCAGGTTTTTTTTTTTAAGAATGATTGCAAAGTTTAAGAACTTAGGGGTTGGAATTAAGAAGGGAGAGTAAGCCCGGGAAGGGGAGGGGGGACTAAATGGGAAAAGCTGAGAAACGTAAAGTCTTTGTGCACCGCATATAGAGATCAATACAAACATCATCAAGAGACGGGTTAAAATAAGTGTATACAAATGTTCTGTTGAATTAAAGTCATCTGTCCCCATCTTCCGTGGGAGTTGGCACTTGATTGATTCAACCAGTTTCCCTCTAGTTGGCAAGTTTTTGCCCTTGAACTTGTGAGGAACACCTTTTATACATGTTATTATGGCAAAACTTGTGAGGGGGACACCTCCCAAATATTAGACAGTCTTATATTAATGTTTGCTCCAAAAGTTGCCTAGCGGATAATTGGGGGGGGGGGGGGGGGGGGGGGTCGGGGGGGTCCCCTAATTTTGATGTGCAAATTTTTTATTTAAAGCAATATTGTCAGTATAATTTATTTCTGCATTGATTTCTTTATAATACAGTACTTCAATCATGTGTTTCAGTGGAAGAACAAAATCTGTCCAATCAGCCGAGGAAGTAAACTAGGGCTTATATTTGTCATTTTGAATTAGGTCTTTTTTTTTGTTTTGTTGTTGATGGTTTATCTGCGTGAAGGCTTTATCACAGCATTCAGGAAAAACTCATATTATTAGCTCCATCTCTTTAACAGACAGCTAAGAGGTTTTATCCTGATGGTGCCCGTTGCCATCTGGTTAACTGCTCATCTTGGCTCTCTGAGCCTCAAATGGTTTACACAGTTGAATGTTTTCTCCTGACACATGAGAGGTGATTGCTGCACCCATTGATCGTCATGTGCACTGTCGGATGACATAGATTAAGACTTTTCAACTAAGTTTACTCAGGGGTCATGTAGAAAAATGGGGATTGTCACGGGCCAGAGACTTGAGTCCCAACATTGGCAGATCACTGTTTTGGCAGTGATTTGCGGGCCACTTTCTTGGTCTCTGTGGGCCTCATCCGGCGACTAATGGGCCACTACTTGAATAGTCCTCACATAGATGTTCATGTCTTTACGGATCTCGGCCCTTGTTCTGGTGATGAGTTAGGTCAGCAAACTCTTGTTATGCAGAAGCTCTCCCTGGACCTGATACTTTTTAATAATCACACCGAAGAATTTATTACGATTTATAATTATAAAAATCCCAAAAGCAGTTACATTCTAGTTGCATTTAGAAAAATATTAAAATAATACCGTTGGCTTCCTAAATTTGTTCGATGAACCACTAAATGTGAAAGGTTGATGAAGGTCATAACCAGAATTATGTTGTGACCTTGAGACCTTAGAATTTATTTAGCCTCGTAATATGGATAAATGGAAATGTTCCATGACAGTGTTCTTAAACGATCTGCCACGGAATTGTCTGGCTGGGCTACGAAACATTTATACCTTCTCTGGTGGGATCCAGATTGGCTATATCTGCACCACTGGGTGGCAAATTGATACATGACAAGGCACATGTGGTCAAAGCCCTTTGGGAACAACCAATGGAATCAGTAGAGAAAGAAGATTATTATGGCCTGGACAGAATGAGGCACCTGGGTGTAACCAGAGGGTCTGGCCGGCTCACTACACTCAGAGGAAAGGCAAGGCGGACATATAACCAGATTGTAACCGGTACCATCAGTATTAGAACTCAGTGCTGGCTGCTGAAGATGAGGATGAGCACACATGGAAATGCCCCGAGTGCTGTGATATCAATTCTTGGACTCAACTCCACTCTACTCTCTAGACGGTTCATGATTTCGAGACTGAGTATGCATCTATCACATTGTCTAACCACTAACCAGCAGCAAGTGTAGTTTCATCCTGAAAACTAATTTTGACATTGAATTTAACAAATAAAACTGCTGTCTGTACTTGATTTTCTTGTTTGTGTTTACTGCCAGTTGGTCTGTGGGACACCCCCCCCCCCCCCATCAGCCAGGTATGTGTTTCTCTTTGAAAAGAGAAACTCTCTTCGTCCAGTGTTGATCATATTTATTTCTTGACATTAATTGCGGGCTTGCCTGCATATTTCTGTTTCTTTTCCTGTCATCCTTGTTTGCCTGCGCCAGATTCGAGGTCACAGGATGGCCCAGTTAGATCCCTTGGGGCTGGAGACCTCTCATGAGGAGAAAGAGTTGCAAGTTCAGTACTATAATTTAGGTAAGCTACCTTATCTTTTGCCTTCTTCTGCTGTCTTGTCTTCTTTATCACTGTTCATATTTCAGCTTCTATGTGCCTGGGAAGATTTGTGGAAAGAGAGATAGAGGACGACAACATGAGAAGAAGATGCTTGACAGAAGTTTGTCATTGCAGGGAAAGGTGCCAGCACAAGAACGGATATATGCTGTTGCACTTCCAGGTGGGGACTGCCAGAGTTGCCCATGATAATGATGTTTTGGCATTAGGTTAATCATAGACAGCTTGTGAGAACTCCAGTGCTTTCTCACCTTCATCTGAGAGGAAACATTCTTTACTACTATGGGTCAGGTAGAAGGAAAATAATTCTACAAAATGTGAACATTGAAGAAAACTGTCTCATAAACTGTATTTTCTCTCGGACACTGGAATACCTTTGCTGTATTCAGTTTCAGCGTGGCTTAGAAAGGTTGGAAATGGCATAGTTCCGGAAACTGCATAGTTATCAGAAGCTCTGGCAAAATATTTTAATCTTTCCAACGGTATACAAAGCAAGCAGCAAATGAGCTGCTACAGGTAGATGATGACATGAAATCCCCAGGATCACCTGAGAAATTTTCTTGTGGGGTCCAGAACCTCATTTGGTGAAAGGGGAAGTATCTTCTTCTTAGACGTAAACTCAGGTGGAAAGTTCTGGTTGTTCATCCGTTTCTATACTTTGATCTTGTTTCAGACCTTGAGCTTTACATGCATATGCCATTTTACAGATCTGGCTTATTTTTATGCAGACTGTTGGTTCCTCTCCTCTTAAGCAGATGCACTCTGACTTTGAAGGAAACATCCCTAATTAGTCAACTCCTAAAACATACTTGTTACGGGGCATAAGTCAGTTCTTGTTTCCCTACAATAGGGCCCCAAAACCCACACGGGTAATCATGACTAGACATCAAATCCCAGGATCAGAAAGTGGATCTCCTTGTGGGTTTCAGAACCCTATTTGGCAAAAAGGGAAGTATAAACCCAGGGCCCCTTACCAAGCATCCTGTGAAAGGCTACCAATAAAATTTGCAGTAACGTGATATTTTGGCTGAAATGAATAGATGTGTTACAGTATAGCCCTAAAACACCACATGCCATAAGGACAAAGGTAGAAGAAGATGGAGATGAGTACAAGTATCTCTTCACATAGCTATCTTTCTAGATGAGAATAAAGAAGAGATTATTTCTAGATCAGAAGAAAGAAGAGATTAAATATTTATCCCACACAGTCTCCCTTTACTTGTGTTTACAGATCTAATTTCTGCCGTCTCACACTGTAACAAAGAACTGCAAGAGTGAAAATGAACGTTGTTTTTAAAAACTGTCAGGAAGTTGGTATTATGTTACTGGTCTTTTTGATTCTTAGTTCATTGAAACTGTGTAGTCTATGTATTCAGCTGCTTGTATGTCAGAACAAGGACCTGGAATATTTAAATCAATTTCTTTTGTTAAAGGTGCAAAAAAAAGGGGGGGATTTAAGAAAAATGCAGTTTTAGTTTTTTAGGCTTTATTTCCAACTCGGTCATAATCCGAGAATGTGTGAAGTTGAACGCTTCACATCTGTTCTAACCTGTAGTTATTTTCTGCTGAATATTATCCTCTGAATTAGAAGCTGGAATTTCCTGTGTAGGTTCCAGGGCCCGATAAGGGGGGAAGACAAGGAAGACCCACTGTCTCCCTATCAGGCATGTTGTAAGAGTAGATTAATTAGGGATTATCCTTCATAATTAGAGTACACTGAGAGACAAGGAACTAACAGTCTGCATAAAAATAAGCCAGATCTGTTTAAATGGATGCACACGCTAAACTAAAGTTCCTCAAGTTCTGGAACGAGAATGAAGTCCTAAGTAGATGACCAACCAGAACTTGTCCTCCGAAGTTTACAGCCAATAAACGCGAAGAGAAGCAAGCTGGAGTAAAGAGTTAACAAGACAATTAACTACCTGTAAAATGAGATGTTTGAGAAAGGCTGCTAACACAATCAGTACTTAACCTAGGCAACAAAATTGTCTGAGGCAAGGATTACCAGGAAAATGAATCAAAGGAACAGAAATGAATGGGAAGGGTTGAAACTGCTAAAATAACAAATAATATTATTGCCACTAACCTCTGTATTGAACGTGTTATTATAGGGACATACAGATATTAAACAGGCAAGCGGAAAAACACCTGCTTGCAGTGTGGGTTTGGTTTTTGACAAGAATGCTAAGAATATAATAGAATAATGGGGAAAAAAACAAGACAGTCATCGTTTAGAGCTTTATCCTTTCAGTGTTTACCGGCTGTTAACTCTGGTGGAAGGTTTTGGTCGTTTGCCCATTTTGGTTATGTTTTAGAACTAGAGTTTTGCAAGTACATCTGCTTTTACAGATCTAGCTTCTTTGTATGCAGACTGTTGGTTCCTTGTCTCTCGGGCAGATGCACTCCAGCTTGGAAGGAAACTCCCCTAATTAGTTGCCTTTTACAGCATATTTGCTAGTGGGGAAAGGGTGTTTTTTCCTTTGAATTGCTTGTTTGTGTGGTTGTTTGTATTGTATTTTGTCGGCACTAAATATTTTCACTGTGAATTTTGATGGCGTGCAGAAGAAGGAGATCTGGACCGAGTATTCCGCCTGCCTCACACAACCTACATCGGAGGTAATGAAGCAGTTCTGCCTCTCCGAGAGATCATCCGCAGGCTTCAGGTAGGAGGATTCACATTATTTATCGAAACCTTAAGCTCCCATGAAGTTTTTACTTAGCAGTCATCAAAACCTGGTTCAGAAATGCTTGTAAAGTAGAGAAACCTCTTTTAATGCCTGTGGCATAAAGGTAAGTCGGGAGATGTGAACCAGTGTCATTGCACACAGTTATAAACCATAAGTGCATTGCCACCAGTACAGGCAGCTGAAAAGAAAAGTCTGCTTGTGTCGCCGCCCACAGGCACTCTTTAGCTACAGCGACGTTCCTCCATTTATCCAAGAGTGTTAACTCTGGTACCCATTTGTTAGAGGCTGGGTCAACCCCGGAAACCACCCGTGAGCTGCAGCGAGTCGCAGCTGGATTTAAAAGTGGGTCTTCTATTGACTGCGCTAAGGCAGCCCCTACTACCTGTGGTGTATTGAGCATATCATGCTAGGCCCAAGCTTTAATAGAAAAGCAGGTGGTGTGGTCACCATGCTGACCGCCTTTACTTTCTAGGTTATTATCTCACATTTGGGAGCCAAGTTGAATGTTGGGGGGGGGGGAGAAATTGTGCCACTTTTGTTTGTATTTGAAGCCGAGACTTTTTTAGTGGTAGATGAGCATCTAGCGACTCCATTACATCATCTCTCGTCGATTGAATTGCTATTTTATTTTATTTGGCATGAGGATATTTTTAGACATGTTATGAGCTGTTTGTTAACAGCTGGCAGTGTTGATGAAGAAAGAGCAAATGGATAAATACCTGGATGACTTGGCTCCATGGAGGAGGCAAGACAAAAGCACCGACCTGATCCGTGACTCTGGTGATCATTTTGGATGGCGAAACATGACCAACAATCCTATCTGTAAAGCACTTGATGGTGCCTAGGCTGTTGAATCAAGATTTATCTTGGCATCTGAAAGAAAGTAGTTTTGCCTTTGCTATCCTTCTTTCAGCGGTCATTCTGGTTAGATAACCATAGTCATTGTCACTGTAGTGTGATCTCCTGTGCATATTAAGGGAGAAGGACGGACGGACTTTCTACCCCACCAGGACATCACACAAGCGATAAACACCCGATGACACAAAGTGCCACCATGCGGATGAGGATCGCCGTGGAGAGGTCCCAGAAACCGCGTTCAGACATTTGGCCATATGTATGACCTGCCTATATTGCGGCCCCTGGTAAAAGCCAGAGTAGGGCTTCAAATGACAAACAATTTCATCCTAAAAAAGGACGAAACTTGGTATACATTATATTATTAAGGGAGACTGACTGACTGACTGACTTTCTACCCCACCAGGACATCACACAAGCGATAAACACCCGATGACACAAAGTGCCACCATGTGGATGAGGATCGCCGTGGAGAGGTCCCAGAAACCGCGTTCAGACATTTGGCCATATTTATGGCCTGCCTATATTGCGGCCCCTGGCAAAAGCCAGGGTGGGGCTTCAAATAACAAAAAATTTCATCCTAAAAAGGACGAAACTGGATATCATTAAGGGAGACTATGAGACTGCTTATAAATAATCCAGATGTGTAAAACGAATGTGCACACACAAAACTGAAGTTCTGGAATTAGAAACAAGAGAGTACGAACAACCAGATCTTTCTGCTAGAGTAGACTGCGGGTGAATGCTACGAAGAAGAAAAAGAAGAACCTGTTACCTAAATAACCACTTCAACATTTATTGTACATTTTGCTGACAGGCTTGTTGAACTGTTATTTCCCCTCAGTGAATTATTTCCCCTAAGTAAATTATATCCCCTCAGTGAATTATTTCCCCTCAGTGGTAAGATTCCAGATAACTGCCATTTGATGCTGGGGCCCTGGTATTTGTATGTAGGAAACTATTGATTTTTTTTTAAGCAGAATCCAGTGATTACAGCTTCTTGTCAGGCCTGTAGAGCTTGCTTGAGAGAGCAGCTTTGAAGAACTTGGGTTGAGAGGGGCACTGAAGTATTGAGGACAAAAATAAAATGGGAGCAGGAGTTCAAAGAAAAGAGGGTAGGGTGGGGGGGGGGGCGCTGAGAAGAAGACTGGCATAATTGTGAAAGTTGGGGCAGTGAAAGATGTGAATTGGGGAGTGGGAGAGAAGGAAGAGAAAAGAATGGGACAAGAGGTGTCCCAAATGGCAGGAAACACTTAAATGGAGTGTAAGCTTCCAAGGAAGAGAGGGATGCAAAAAACTTGAAAGATATATAAAGAAGTGTTTGGTAGGGAATGTACAAAATACAAATGGAAAAGAGGAAGACTGGACAGGAGAATATCAGAAAAGGGTCTGGGGGAAAAACAGACAATAGTTATACATTGACAAGAAAGAAGAAAGGGGTTGTGGAGGAAAGAGGGGAAACATGAGGGAAGAAGGGAGTTATAAAGGAAATAATAAGAGAAGGAAGATAGAGAGATTTTGAAGGGAAGTAGGAAAAAGATGTGCAGAGGGTGAGAGGAAAAAATGTGATTAGAGGAAGGGGGCCAAAAGAGAAAAAAAAAAGATTCTGCGGAGGAAAAGGGAAGTGACATTAAAAAGACGGGATGTGGATGGAAGAGAAAGTTTGATTGACAAAAAGAGCATTTTATTTGATTATTGAGGCACTAGCAGAGAAATTTTGGTGGACAGAAACATTTTAATGGAGCAGCTTGATGATCTGGACTTCGCTGATGATATTTCTCTTCTGTCACATTCACAGAATCAGATGCAAGATAAATTAAATACATTTGATGCGAGATCACAGCAGCTTGGTCTGAAAATCCATAAAGGAAAGACAAAGATAATGAGAAGAAATCAGGCAAATAGTAATGTGGTTTCTTTTAATGGCACCCTACTCCAAGACGTGGACTCATACACCTATTTGGGCAGATAAAGATGGAGCAACTGATCGAGATATTAAAATAAGAAAACAAAAGGCAAGAGGAGCTTTCAAAGGGAATTTGTGGAGGTCAAAAGAAATTTAAAGAAATACTAAACTAAAAATTTTTAATTCTAATCCCAAATCATTACTTTTGTATGGGGGCGGAAACATGGAGAACATATAAGGCAATTACTCAGAAATTATTCAGAAAAACTACAGACATTCATTAACTGGTGCCTGGAAATGGTATGATAGAATAACTAATGTAGAACTTTGGGAGAGAACTAAACAGGATCCAGTCGACCAAGAGGTGAGGAAATAACGGTGGCGTTGGATAGGACACACACTGAGAAAACAAGAGAACAGCATAACTGATTGTCTTTGCATTGGAACCCACATGGGCATAGGCATAGAGAAAGGCCAAAAAACACATGGAGAAGAGAGATGGAGAATGAAGTGAGAAAGATGGGGAGGACATGGGGAGAGCTTCATGTAATGGTGAAGGATAGAACGACTTGGCGTGAGTAGGTTGAGGGCCTATGCTCCATTGGGGGATAAAAAGGCATAAGAAGAAGAGAAGAAGAGATGGCGAAAGAATTAGGCGTATAAAGAAAGGGCATTGTCAGACAACATATATGATGTCAGGATATGATATGATTTCAATCCCTTAAGGTCTCAGTTTATCAGATTACCCAGTTTCTCATTCCTGATAAGACAAGATATTGTTACGCATTTGTGGTGTAATATTACATCTGAGATTTACAGAATGCCTAAAAGTAAAGGACTCTTTCATGCCTTCAGGCGTGTTGGGCATATAGGGCTAGACTTATATTTTATAGACCAATCAGGGCTGAAATTATAAAATTTTTATAGATCAATGTCAACTTGGACATAACAGAACACGGCTTGTGTGAGGTGAGAATGTGCGTAAAACCAGAGATCGAGTGAGAAACGATGTGATTAGAAGAACTATTGCCATCCCCATCGTCAAATTTATTGAGAAGCAAAGAATTGACCAAATTGGAACCATCGATGCCAGGAGCATTTCGAAACACCTGGATAAGGAGTCCGGACAACTTTTCATAACACACGCATATGAGTCGACATCTGATAGGCGACGCCTAGCAAAGCAGATTTTGACGAATGAAGAAAATCAAAGGTGATGGGTCAGCATCAATTCCACTTGACTTTCCAGGATTTTACCTGAACAGGCTGACGAAGTCAAGGTCGTATGAAAAAAGTCCCAATTCCACTAGGGCCTGAAACCACTACCTTGAGATCCGTAGGCGATCGTCTAGCTACTACACAAAAGCGGCTTCCTCACAGGTGATGGCGAAATGGAGATTTGATTTTGTTATGCCGGTTTTAACATGGGATTTTAATCTACAAAATTTCACCAACAAACTCGGTTTTTTTTTTTTCATTTTTTCTCCAGAATGTTTACTGTCGGTCAATTGGCGTTGAATTTATGTTCATCAACAACTTACAACAGACAGACTGGATCAAACAGAAATTTGAGACGCCCGGCATCATGCAGTTCAGCCAGGAAGAGAGGAGGATGTTGATGGCTCGACTCATTCGATCAACCAGGTGGGATGACAGCTGGGCAGGTGTTTTTCTTAAGTGGAGATGGGGGGTGGGGGGCACTCTTGAGTGGCAGCTAGGAGGGTTTTCCTGAGTTGCAGCTAGGGGGGCACTTTTCTTAAGTGGCAGTTAAATGCAGATTTTTTTTTGGAGTGGCAGCTGGCTGGGTACTCTTCTTGAGCGACAGCTTGCAGAGCATTCTCCTTGATGTTATTGTTTTTATTTCTTTTGTGTCTAACATATATTGTATGGTAATTTCCTTAATAATATTTTTTTTCTCTCTTTTCACGTCCTTTACTATAAAACTTCACTCCGAGTCTACTAATGTATATCTGCATCTCTACATTCTCAACTCTAATAAATTAATTCATTTAATTGACATTTTAAGTGTGACTGATTGACTATGCACTAGGTAATTTTTGCTAGCATCATAAGATATTGTCATTAAATTAAAAAAGGTGAATAAAAAAAATAAAATCAGTCACTACTTTTCACAGTAAGGGAATAGCAGTTGATTTCTTTTGTGACAATACTGTATTCTGGATGTTGGAAAATTTTCTGAAGATTTTTTTTTTTGGGTCAGTCTTTATTTTATCAGTGGTTCAAATGAGAACTTTATACAGACATACATACTTATCTAAACAAAAATAAACTGCCAGGTTTACATTAAGAACTCACCTGACTATTTAATTATCCAGGACACTGACAGTATGAAGAAAAAAGCTTAATTACACAAAAAATGTGTGTTGTAAAGGATTATTATTATAACATATGTTGAAATCACTGTGACCAATGTAAACATTTTTGTGTCCCTTAAGATTCGAAGAGTTTTTAGCCCGCAAGTGGTCTTCAGAAAAACGATTTGGCCTTGAGGGTTGCGAAGTCCTCATTCCTGCTATGAAGACCATCATTGATGCATCCAGCGCCATCGGTGTGGACAGCTTCATCATCGGAATGCCTCACCGAGGTCGTCTCAACGTGCTGGCCAATGTTTGCCGCAAGCCTCTGGAGAAAATCATTTGCCAGTTTGATTCTAAGTTGGAGGCCGCTGATGAAGGTTCAGGCGACGTCAAGTACCACCTGGGCATGTCACATGAACGGATGAACAGGGTCACAAACAAGAACATCAAGATTGCTGTTGTGGCGAACCCCTCCCACCTGGAGGCCGTGAACCCCGTGGTAGAGGGCAAGGCAAGGGCAGAAATGTTCTACAGAGGTGATACAGACGGAAAGAAGGTATAATAGTTAGTCGACAGATCATCATCTCTGCACATCAGACATTTCATTCTATAAAATACGCAAATCCCCTCAATATATCTTTTAGCTTATGGTAACTGATAGCATCACTTCTGTGTTTTGTTTTACAGTTGATCTTTGGCAAGATGCTTTTGTGCCAAAAATGGGTAATTAAAGGTTTGCTGAGATCAAATGTGTTGGGCCGGAAGACATGGATATTGTAGCCAAGCTGTAGACCACAACACGTGCCAACTCCTTTGAGGACAAAAACAAAGAAGAAGAAGACTTTCTTTTTCTTGGAGTTAAGTCAAGACTGTAGGATCTGTCATCACTTGATTAACACAACCATCTTGAGTATTAATTAAAGCAACAACAAGTGTTGTATAGAACCTGTGTTATATGCACATGTGACACTGACAGTAAGCACACATTGAGAAAACATTTACTTGCAGTGGAAATGTGGTTTGTGAGATTAATGCTAAGAAAATGGAATGAGAAAAACAAACAAGGCGGCCCTCCTCTGGTGAAAATTGTAATCTGATTGCAGAAATCGGACATAGACTCAATGCTTTTTGAACATGTTATGAGAAGGAATAGACTTGGGAACAAATCGGACATAGACTCAATGCTTTTTGAACATGTTATGAGAAGGAATAGACTTGGGAACAAATCGGACATAGACTCAATGCTTTTTGAACATGTTATGAGAAGGAATAGACTTGGGAACGTGGTGAGGACTGGTAAGATTAATGAAACAGGAGCAGGGGGAAGGCAAGGAGATAAATACCTAAATGGCTTGGTCAGATGTATGTGGGATGTGTCTAGATCACTGACCTGATTCCTGAGCTTGATGATCGTGACAAATGGTGAAACATAACAGCTGATGCTTCTGTGGGTTGAGGGAAACAGCCAGTTTTATGCCAACCCTCGTTATTTGCCTCTTATGATGTGCAATTTAGGCTATACTGTTACTTTTCTTTGTATTTCTTATGGGCCATGTAACACATGAGTGATGCTTGCATATACTAGCAAAGCCAGGAATGAAACATTTGGTTGAGTGCATGTGACTTATTGCTGTGTACACTTTCTGATCTACACCCACAGACCAGTTCTTGAGATAAACTTGCCTGTTTGTTCAGATGTAGGAGTTCCCATTTTGTTCCATCCAAATTTGAGTGCAGTGGTGACTCACTGGGCCAGTATTCCCTTTTTAATAGGATGTGAAAGGGAAATTCTTGCAGGACATGTTCTGTAGTCTGCACACACGGGAACAATGGTGAACTACTTAAACGAAACCTGTGCATATACTTGTTAAGTTTTTATGTCTTGAGGCGTAGAATAGTGACCTGCCCATGCTGGTCAAGTAAGTGGTGGTCATCTCTGGCCAGATTCTGTTCACTTCTGATAGTATGTTACTGCATTCTCTTGCTGTTCACATTCTACCCCTTTCTTAGCAAGTTTATCTGCGGTTTCATTTCCTGGTATACCACAGTGGGCTGGCACCCACTGGAGTACAGTACACTTTTGGGCAGCCATTTTGCTTAGGTCATATTTCAGGTGAGGGAGTTTATCACTCTTGGTAACTTGAAGCACCGATAGCACATCTGGGAATATGACCACTTGGTGACCGTCAGAACTGGTGTTGTGTAACATTTCGGCAGCCTGCTTTAGTGCTAGGATCCATGTTGTGTAGTTGGAACATAATTTACCTGTGTCTGGCTAAGTGAATGTGTCTTCTTTGTTCCTACCTGCACAGGGCTGCAAGTTACACCTGTAGGTACCCTAATTATAACTTCTTTGCTAGTTAAACATGGTATCTGGGATCTGCCTTGTTGGTCTGTCGTCCAGACTGAGAATCTTTAATCTCAGGATGGTATGGTAAACCTTTGGGAAGTAGCCCGGAAAGACACATCATTCAATCCTTTAATGTATTTTTGTTTTTAAAGCCGGTGCATTGTAGCATTGGTAACCATGTCTGTCTGCAACCTTTTGCCTCATGTAATATGGGTCACTCCTGATTCAGATGGTCTTCAGGGCATCATGCAAGGCTGTCTAGAACCTTCTGTCTTGGTCTTCCTATGCCTCTCTTCCTCTCCAACGTTTCCATTATCATGCAGGTTATTCCCCCTTTCATGACACGATCAGAGAACTTGGATTGTCCCCACCTGTTGATGCTGCGGACTTAACATCCAACATGGTTTTATCTCATATTTCTGCCATATAGCGACTTAACATCCAGCATGGTTTTATCTTTTATTTCTGCCATATAGCGACTTAACATCCAGCATGGTTTTATCTTTTATTTCTGCCATATAGCGACTTAACATCCAACACAGTTTTATCTCTTATTTCTGCCATATAGCGACTTAACATCCAACAGTTTTATCTCATTTCTGCCATATAGCGACTTAACATCCAACAGTTTTATCTCATTTCTGCCATATAGCGACTTAACATCCAACAGTTTTATCTCATTTCTGCCATATAGCGACTTAACATCCAACAGTTTTATCTCATTTCTGCCATATAGCGACTTAACATCCAACAGTTTTATCTCATTTCTGCCATATAGCGACTTAACATCCAACAGTTTTATCTCATTTCTGCCATATAGCGACTTAACATCCAACAGTTTTATTTAATTTCTGCCATATAGCGACTTAACATCCAACAGTTTTATCTCATTTCTGCCATATAGCGACTTAACATCCAACAGTTTTATTTAATTTCTGCCATACGGCCCTTGCTGTTTACAGCCTTCTCTGGTCTGTGTTTGTTTCTGCTAGTCACACACGTGTCTGAGATTCATTTGTTTGTGTCTGTGGTAATGTGAAACGGACTGGTCCTGCTTTTTGTTTGATTTGATATCTTTCCATCTAATACAGATATCTCATCATGAGATTGATCTTCCAAGATATTTGTGCACTTTTTCTATCTGTTCTCAACTTTTGTTAATAAAACCCCTCTTTGCAGCTTCTACATAATTTTTTTGTACACTGTTAATTTTTTCCCCGTTTTCAGCATTTGTCAGTAAAATCCATCTTTGCAGCCTCTAAATAATTTTGCCCTGAAATTGTAAATGATCACTTCTGTAAGTAAATGTTTGCACAGGTTAAAAAAAAAAAGTGCTGAGGTAACAGAAAGATTGATTTGCCAGATGGTAAACATTGCAATTAATGACTCTGATTTTTCAGGTTATGCCACTACTTTTGCATGGAGATGCTGCATTCTCTGGCCAAGGCATTGTGTATGAGTGTCTTCACTTGTCTGACTTGCCAGCTTTTACAACACATGGCACCATTCATATTGTTGTCAACAATCAGGTTTGGCTTTGTTCATTTTCTAACTCATCAGTCTAGTCTAGTTTTTTTTTTTTTTTCAAATTTTATTTATTTTATTTTACAGCTACATAATATTCAAAACCAAAATCCCCCCCCCCCCTTTCCCCCGATTGCAGCCTTAAAGATGAAACACCGGTGACTCAAACAGCCACTCTTCGGATACAAATCCAGCAGGTACAAATCTTAGAAATTCAAGACAGCCATGTAAGGAAAGGAACTATGAGAATTCTTCCATCACATGTTCTAGTGGTAGACTGAGATGTTATCCCCAAAGATTGCTGATGTCATTTAGGAAGAGAATCGAGACTTTTGAGCTGAAAGGATTCTCATATTCTAGAAGGATTTTCAGAATACCTTTGATCAAGTAGAACAGAAATACTGAAATCCTATAAGATCTGAATATCAAGAAAGATTGGTGAGTAAACTGCAGCTCATCTCAGAAACTGACATATTTTGGCCATATTGAGCACCACGGCAAGATTAGAAGGAATAAGGCATGGTACCAGGAAAGAGGGGCAGAAACTGACCAGCTTGAAGAGGGACACAGGATACAAATGACATCTTGGGTAGGAAAGAGAGCAGAAGAGCTGGTGAGAGACCTAGTTTCTTTCAGCCAAACCGTGATGAGAGTGACATTCTGCAAAGGACCTGCTACATGATGATGAGATGGCTGGTAAAACTGATTGTGGTGCAGAACTGTCTTTGGTAGTGTGGGTAGAGCATTTAGGCTGCAACATTGGGGGATGGAAGGGCTCTTCAGTTTGGCATCTTTGTTGAATAGCTGCTGCAGCTCTGGCCATGTCACATGCTGCTGCTTCACAGTGAATATATGAAACAAATTGTAGTGGCCAGTTTAACCACCCAGCATCAAGAAACATACCTATAGTTTAGTTATGAATTTAAATTTTTGCTGTTTTTGTATACTCTATTCTAATGCTTATTACTTGAACAGTGAATAATGACCCCGTTGGAGTCTTCACTCGCTACTGAAGATGGGGATGGAGAGCCGGATTTCCCCCCACCCCCAAAAATGACCTTGACTCTCAGGTCGACGCAGCCTTGAATTGATACCAGGGTTAAGTCCTGGGAAGTAAAGGCGGCTGGCGTAATGCTGACCACATTACCTCCCAAGTGCCGATTGGTCTATAAAAATAAAGGTCTAGCCCTATACGCCTTAAGGTGTGGAGAAGGGTCCTTTTTTTCTTATATCAGTATGCACACACAAAAGCAGCTTATAAATGTACTTTTTGTCCCACCTTTTTCTTATCAAAACCAGACATGGACAGTCCTATAAAAACATGAAAGTACAACCTGTAAAATAAGAACTAAGAGAACAGAGTGGGCCCTTTGCTGGTAACTGATTTTATAGAACATCAAAGAATCAAATCGTTAGTTATCTGGTCAGAATAGAATAAAATCAGCTAGCAGCTAGAGCATACTGTACAAGAACAGCAGGCAACAAGTCAAGAGGCAGAAAAGAAAGATATGGATGGAGAAAGTAAAAGAGACACCACAGAAACACATTATGACATAACACAAGCTACACAACTAGCAAAAGACAGGAAACTACACCAAACTCTTCTCTGTGACACTTTATGACATAAGCAGTAGGACAAAATAAACGAGAAAGATTAATATGTTACAGTTAAATTTAACTCCCGTTATTTTTATTTCTACAACAGATTGGCTTTACGACAGACCCACGGTTTTCCCGCTCATCCCCGTACTGCACTGATGTAGCCCGGGTTGTGAACGCTCCCATCTTCCATGTGAATGCAGATGACCCGGAAGCTGTGATCTATGTGTGTAAAGTTGCCTCTGAGTGGCGATCAACATTTGGAAAGGATGTTGTTGTTGACTTGGTAAGAAAACATGTCTCTTGCCTGTTTACACATGATGAATAGATATGTACTGATTAGCACTCACAGCTTCAAAAGTAAAAGCATAGACAAGAGAGCCCACCAGTGTTCTTTTTATAAGAAACTCGGTCTCTTACCAGTTCTCTCGCCTTGTGTATTTTCGTATCCAAGGAGTCACATATATCCTGTGTCCATCTTCATGTTGGTCGGCCCCTGCCCCTCCTTCTTGGTGCAATACCTTCTGCTATTACTTTTATCTAATCCGCCATGGTGCTTGATATGACCCAAATATTTCAGCTTCTGAGACAAGATGCTGTTTATTAGCCAATCTTCCTTGATGTTCAGATCTTTTAAGATGTCAGTATTTATCCTCTTCTTCTTCCGTGGTATTTTGAGAATCTTTCTCTAGCATTTCAAGTCAAATGTCCCTATTTTCGTTTCCTAAGGACTTGAAGATCGTCCATGATTCACATAACACTGCAATAAAGCATTAAAAAAAAAAAATTAAGATATAGTTACCTATTCAGAATCAGACCTGCCGCTTTCAAATGATGATGGTATCTCACTGCAGGAACAAGCATACTTTTTTTGTGAATGACCAGTTGGAAACTCAAAAAGGTCTAGGTCTATCAAACATTTGAGCCAACAGCTATCAAATATGGACAGTGTACAATTCCAGTTATTGAAATGGCAAGTAGGATAATAGACTATAGAAATGTATTTTAACCAAACAGTACCAATTAACACATGTCAGTTTTTCGGTCATGCCGATTCACGAACCTTAAGGTTTCTCCATCCTTGTCCACATATAAAGTGGGCCTGTTATGTCTAGATAAGTGGTCTCCAACATTTTGCCTAAAGGCGTGAAAAGGCATCTTTTACTTTTACTTATACTTAGTTATTATTTAATTTAATTTTAATAATTTAAAAAAAAAATGTATTTTTGCATTTACAGGTTGGTTACCGTCGGTTTGGCCACAATGAGATTGATGAGCCCATGTTCACACAACCTCTCATGTACAAGAAGATCACCAAACAGCCAACTGTCCTGGCCAAGTATGCTGAGACATTGATTAACAATGGAGTGCTCACCCAGCAGGAGTATGAGGTCAGTTTCCAAATAGATACAGATATAGATGAAAGTAAAATAGTTACATAACTACATGTGTGAGTTCCAGGGGAAAAATATACCCACTACCCCTGTAACAAGCTTGTCATAAAAGGCGACTGATTACAGGTGTGCAGAAATCTTGGTTGCTCTGGCCGAAAGTCTTAGCTGTAAACTACGTCATAAAGGTCCAGAACCTCTTTTGTGCCAGGAAGCCTAAATCTAGTTACTTCTGGTTGTGCTACATGTCCAATTTCCAATTCCTTTTAAGAAAAAATCAAAAAACTCAATCACGTTCAACCTGCTGCTAGCTAGCCAAAGCTGGCAACAGTCTCCGGCTATATTTGTGATCTTGTTTATTTGCACCACTTTCGTGGCTAAAGTTCTGGTATTTGCTCCGCCTCTGGCCTTAATTTTCTTTCCTCCATGTCAGACCGCCATCATTAATAGTTTTAAAAGAGTATTTTGCCACGTATCTGTAAATACAAGGCCTCGGAGAAAGCATGGTTTAATAGGTCAGTATGTGAAATATGGTAACTGAAAATAGCAGCAGGAAATAGAAGGGTTTCCTTATGACCTCAATATTTTTCTAAAAACTAAGTTGTTACATTTTCCGATAAGTTCATTGATAGAAGTCACATGATCACAGAATGAGTCACCCGATACACAGTTTGTTTTTTAAAAGCCCTGCAAAATCTATCCTATTTAATGCTTTTGTTCATGTTTATTGATTACCCCTTTGTTTATCTGTATATGTAAACAAATGTAGATAATAGATTTGTAAAATAATTTTTTAGCAACATGTGTTATATGATTATTTTTTTAAAGGATTTTCTCATGCATATTCCTAGGAATTCACAACCCATTTTATTGTTAACATTTACATCACGAAAAGATTAACCCACTGACTATACCATGATTGTACATTATACGATCCGCCGACGTTTACGCCTGGCTACCTTGATCACACCCCATGTGATCATAAATTTGGATGCTCGCCGCCATGTTAAAAATGCAACGTTTGTTATAAATACAATCGAAGTTGTTGGTCCATTCATTTCTTTATGTTTATTTAAGGGACAAAAATACAAAATGAGTTTTTGTCAGATAATTATAAGGCTCTGACATTTGTAGTGGAGACTAACATATGTGGTATCTTGGAAGGTGCAAGGGTTAGTGGGCTTGGTAGTCACTGGGTTAAGGGCAATAGCAGTAGTAGAGAAAGTCCCAGGTATTGCTGTTGCTGTAGGAGATGTGGACACATGAAGTGGGATGGCTATTTCACATAACCTGACCATCCTAGTCAAATCCCAGACAGTTCTAGAAATTATCTGGTAGCCTATTTTTGTTGTTGTTTAATGAGGCTACTCTGACCCCAGAACATTCTGCTGCGAAAGCATCCTGTCACTTCTAAGGATTGAACCCGTTTCTCTCGAAGCCCCCCCCCCCCCTCCTCCCTCCCTACCCCTTTCAGAAAAAACCCAGTGCACTTCTGTTAAGGTTCATTTCTGTTATTTTTTCTAACATTTCTGTACTAGTTGCTTCACCTTGTTATTCGTATTCTGTATTTTCTCATCAGTTCATTGTCTGCTTCCTCCACTGCAAACTGCTATTTTTGTATTTATTAGTGTTGATACATCTGCCTTATGCATTTACTTTATGTTGGCCTGCTTCTGGATTTTGCTGGACACTGGTTTTAAGATGGGACAGTAAAGGGCATTTATTGTGATTCTCACTGGCACAGGAACTGATCATTTGTGAGGTAACTCCTTTGCCATGATTGTGCAACCATGACTAACAAGTAACCATTCAGATATACATCTCTTTGATTTTTCCCTAGCTCATTTTACCATCAAAGTTTTCAAGTTTATTTGCTTACTACATTATTTTCTATCCATTCCCAGGAGGAGATTTCCAAGTACGACAAAATCTGTGAGGAGGCGTACTCCCTGGCCAAAAAAGAAACTGCGGTCAGCAACATTGACTGGCTGGACTCGCCCTGGAGTGGCTTCTTTGAAGGCCGTGACCCCATGCTGTTGCCCGTCACTGGTATAGCCGAGGAGACGCTGAAGCACATTGGCACAGTGTTCAGCACACCACCGGCAGACTTTGTCATCCATGGAGGTAATATTTTCCTGGGGTTTTTGTGTGTATATGTGTGTGTGTGGGCTCTTATTTAAGTATGTAGTACAGTAAAATTTTGATTAACCGTTACCATCTAGACTAAGGCTGTGATGGATAATGGAATAGACGGATAACAAACATCTCTGAATACGTATAAACAGTTATATGATTTGCCTGCAGGCTTGATACGAAAGTATAAATAAAATCTGTTGAAAATGCATTTAATTTTTATAAAACGATCAATATAAACTTCAGTAAAAGTAGTATTAATGTATTGTAATACCATAAACCTATGTTACTTTGAAATAATCTGTCATTTCCTTCGGTTTTTGTTTATTTGAAACTCACACATTTTCAGGGGCAAGGCGGGTGACAGAAACTGGCGGTTAAACGACTGACGGTTAATCAGTTCTCAAGAGCTTATTTATATAACTCCTTTCCTGGTATACATAAGTGAATCATTCACATTTTGATTGTGTGGAAGTGGCAGAGAGCACTGAACAGATAAAGAGAGTAATGAATATTTTTTTTTACAGAAACTGACTTCATGAAGACTACTGGTTGCTTACATCAGAGAAGACAATCTACGTTTTTTAGGGTGACTGCAACCTTGACATCCTTAACTCTTTGTCCCCAATCATACATTCATAGGTTCCTACCACTGAATTCATAAGTTCATACCAATGAACGCAGGATGTGCCAATTTTACTTCTCTCTTTACTACACCTTGGGCCTCTGGTGCTAAACCCCATTGGACTGAAAGATTAACAAACACTGTCAGGTTAAATGACAGTGGCATGGTTATTGCCTTCTTCTTCTGCCTTTCTAACCCCAGTGGAGCATAGGCCCTCAACCAACTCACGCTAAGTTGGTCCATTCTTTGCTTTGCAATCTGCCACACTTTGAAGTTTTTTTAATTTAAAACCTCCCTCGAACGAACAGTTCTGAGAAATAAAACTTGCTGGCATGATATTAACATCACCAATCAAGTGTTGGTTGGGCTTTGAAAATAAGAGGATAGCACCATATACCCACCGCAGGTGAAGCTGTAGAAGCAGGTCTTTATTTTATAAATGTATCCCTGGGATTACCATGAAACAAAAGTTAAATGCATTTGAAAACAAATGCCTGAGGAAAAAATAAAATGGGATGCATTAAAGAGGGGTGAAGAGAAAGGTCACAGCCAACACTAGTATCATCAGGTATAAGGCAGAGAAGATGGCTATATATTGGTACACCTTCTGAGAAAAGACGAACAGGAAATCACCAAACAGACATTGAAATGGAAAATTGAGGACACCCAAAAGAAATCCTTAAACAGGCGTTGATGAGGGAAGCCAAGGGCGCTGGACTGGATTCCATCCATGACATTGTTGTAACTGTACACGATAGAACGGAATAGTTGACTGCCAGCACTATCTGACATATAATAGTAAGTAAAAGTAAAGTAGGTAAAGATCCCTTTTCACCACTTAAGGCACATCGGGCATATGGGAAGAGCACCCATATTTTTTCAGACCAGTGGGCACTAGGTAGGTAATGTGTTCAGCATTACGCCAGCCGTCTTTACTTCGCCAGGACATATTTTAGACTAGGTCGACCTGCGAAGACTCATACCGTGATAAAAATCCATGCAGCTAACAGTGGGTTTCGATCGTTGTGCGCTGGAATTACGAGTCGGACTTTCAACACTTAAGCCACGGGCGTTGCAGATAAAATGGTACAATAGGATAAAGAATCCCCCGTGTGGGTTCCGGGGCCCTATTGTGGGAAAAACAAGAATAGACCCACTGCCTTCCCAAAAGCATGTCGTAAGAGTCGACTAACTGGGGAGCTTCCTTTGAAGTCGGAGTGCATCTGCCTGAGAGGCAAGGAACCAGCAGTCTGCATTCAATTGAATCAGATCTGTAAAACTGATGCACACGCAACACTCAGGTTCTGGAGCAGGACTGCAGTCCAGAAGTGGACGAACAACCAGAACTTTACAGCAGAGTGTACAGCTGGTGAACGCAAAGAAGAAGAAGAATAGGATAAAGAATGAATTAAATCACCTGAGTTGTTCTGACTTTGTTTTTAAACCTTTTTCTACTGCATGTGGGTATCACTTTTTAACATGTGGTGGAGTTTTGAACCTGAGAATTAAGGCTTCCATGCTAGAGCAGTCGATGTGAACTGTGCAGGTTATGATTTGTATGTTTTGCCCCCTATATATAATTCTTAAATTCCATACTAAGGATCCATATTCAAGTCTTCTGAAGGAACAGATGGGATATAATAGGGGCATTAAATGACAGCTTTGTGCCTGCTGATACTTCTAGGTATGCCTATTGGAATAAGGGAATAATTGAGGAAATAGTCACGGCGAATGTGGGCAAACACACTTGTCACTTATAACTAGCAGCTTTTCGACAGACATGTCCGGGTTCCACAACCTTTGACTTCTCCTGGGAGAGACTGATCACTTATGAGTTTGTTCTAGGTGCAGTGACAGTGATTTAAAAATGAAATTTTATTATATGTGAAGTTTAAAGAAAGGAGTTTTTCTGGATATTAATGTAATGCTGAGATTATTGAGATTTGTATTGATAAGAACCTCAAAACCTGTTGTTCTCATTTGGCAGGTCTGAAGCGAGTTCTCAAGGCTCGCGCTGAGATGGTTGAGAATCGTACTGTAGACTGGGCACTTGGTGAAGCCATGGCGTTCGGTTCTCTGCTCAAGGAGGGAGTCCACGTCAGACTCAGTGGTCAGGATGTGGAGAGAGGGACATTCAGGTGAGAGATGCTGCTTGGCAAGCCTAGATCTTTAGTAATGTATTTATCTGAACTCTTTCATTCACATATGAGTTTGAAGGCGCCATTTCTGGGGGCAAAAGAATAGACCCCCTCTAACAACCATGTCATAAATATAACCAACTGGATGCTGAAGTCATGTTTTGGCCAAAAGAATGGCATGCACCTTTGTAAGTTAAAAACCCCCCCCCCCCCCCCCCCTCCATGTGGATTCCGGGGCCCCATTATAAGGAAAACTAAAATAAACCCACTGTCTACCCAAAAAACAAAGGCATGTCATAGGAGTAAACTAATTAGAAGCTTCCTTTGAAGGTAGAGTGCATCTGCCCGAGCAGCAAGGACTAACCAGTTGCACTCAAATAAGCCAGTAAATCTGATGCACACACAAAAGCCAGAGTCCAAATGGACGAACAACCTGAGCTTTCCGCTAGAGTTTAAGATGGCGAACACAGAAGAAGACATGGTAAGGAAACTGCTGGCTTTTATGATTGACCTTTGGCAATAGCAGTGCAGTTCTTGTGTGGGATAGCTAGTGTTGGCATATCTGCCTTATGCATTTTTGAGCAGGAGATTTCATGTGTAAGCAACTACACTCTGAATGAGATACTGAAGAGGGGATCTAAGCACATGGACTGAATGGTTTGATGTGCTATAATGATAATCTGTCGACTAAGCACATGGACTGAATGGTTTGATGTGCTATAATGATAATCTGTCGACTAAGCACATGGACTGAATGGTTTGATGTGCTATAATGATAATCTGTCGACTAAGCACATGGACTGAATGGTTTGATGTGCTATAATGATAATCTGTCGACTAAGCACATGGACTGAATGGTTTGATGTGCTATAATGATAATCTGTCGACTAAGCACATGGACTGAATGGTTTGATGTGCTATAATGATAATCTGTCGACTAAGCACATGGACTGAATGGTTTGATGTGCTATAATGATAATCTGTCGACTAAGCACATGGACTGAATGGTTTGATGTGCTATAATGATAATCTGTCGACTAAGCACATGGACTGAATGGTTTGATGTGCTATAATGATAATCTGTCGACTAAGCACATGGACTGAATGGTTTGATGTGCTATAATGATAATCTGTCGACTAAGCACATGGACTGAATGGTTTGATGTGCTATAATGATAATCTGTCGACTAAGCACATGGACTGAATGGTTTGATGTGCTATAATGATAATCTGTCGACTAAGCACATGGACTGAATGGTTTGATGTGCTATAATGATAATCTGTCGACTAAGCACATGGACTGAATGGTTTGATGTGCTATAATGATAATCTGTCGACTAAGCACATGGACTGAATGGTTTGATGTGCTATAATGATAATCTGTCGACTAAGCACATGGACTGAATGGTTTGATGTGCTATAATGATAATCTGTCGACTAAGCACATGGTGTGTTGTTAAGAGCACATTACATTTAAAATAGAATGGTCAGCACTTTTGTAAGTGCAATGCCGGCTTTCATGATTGACCATCATGATTGAGCCTTTGCACCGACAGTTAACTACAGTTCTGGTCTTACAGCTGCCTTACAATTTTTTTAAACTCTGCATGTGCAAGCTTCAAGATTTTCCTGGGACTGTCAATTTTTTCACTAGTTTTCAAATGAGACAATAAAGAACATGTTGTGTGATTTCCCCTGTCACAGGAGTGGAGCCGGTATGGGGAGACCGGTCTGCAATCATCTCGACCAAGGGCTTTACGTTCTGTTCTGTCAGAATGCTTACTGTGAACTTCCAGTCATGTTAATGCAAGGGAATTGAGTTGAGTTGTCAGAAATTGACATCACAGCACTCGGGGCATTCCCATGTGTGCCCTGTCCTCATCTTCAGCAGCCAGCGCAGTTCCAATATTAATGGTACCGGTTACAATCTGGTTATATGCCCCTCTTGCCTTTCCTCTGAGTGTAGTGAGCCGGCCAGACCCTCAGGTTACATCCAGGTGCCCCCATTCTCTCCAGGCCATAATAGTCTTGTTTCTCTCGGATGTATGTGTATACTGCAGCTGAACTCAAACACACTTATATGTCATCATCTTGTACTGTGATACGTCACGTAGAGTTCAGTCTTTTTTATTTCTTTCTGTTCTTTACTGTGCATTTTCAGTACCATAAATTTAATCTAGTCTAGCCCTTTGACCTCTTTCATCATTTGTTTTAGAGTTTTCTTTGGACTTCCTAGTTTGCTCAGTCTGTTTAGTTCTTATCTAAGTGCCTGTTTTTTTTTGCAATTCACTGAAAGCTTCTTCTTAGGATGTGTCCATTATATTGCAATCTTACTTGAAAACTCTTGGTGTTGGTGGTTCTCATATATAACAAGCATGTCATAAGAGGCAACTAAATAAGGGCGCTTCCTTTGAAGTTGGAATCATCCAAGTGCATCTGACTGAGAGGCAAGGAACTAACAGTCTGCATGAAAGTAAATCATATATGTCAAATGGATGTGCACGCAAAAGTCAAGTTCTAGAACAAGACCAAAGTCCAGGAGTGAACCGACCAAGACTGGACTTTCTGCTGGAGTTTACAGTCAGTGAACCGACCAAGACTGGACTTTCTGCTGGAGTTTACAGTCAGTGAACAGACCAAGACTGGACTTTCTGCTGGAGTTTACAGTCAGTGAACATGAAGAAGACTGGACTTTCTGCTGGAGTTTACAGTCAGTGAACAGACCAAGACTGGACTTTCTGCTGGAGTTTACAGTCAGTGAACATGAAGAAGACTGGACTTTCTGCTGGAGTTTACAGTCAGTGAACATGAAGAAGACTGGACTTTCTGCTGGAGTTTACAGTCAGTGAACAGACCAAGACTGGACTTTCTGCTGGAGTTTACAGTCAGTGAACATGAAGAAGACTGGACTTTCTGCTGGAGTTTACAGTCAGTGAACATGAAGAAGACTGGACTTTCTGCTGGAGTTTACAGTCAGTGAACATGAAGAAGACTGGACTTTCTGCTGGAGTTTACAGTCAGTGAACATGAAGAAGACTGGACTTTCTGCTGGAGTTTACATCAGTGAACATGAAGAAGACAGAGAAGATTACTAGATTGAATAGTTGACTGCAAGTTTATTGATTTATTGATTCTTTGATTGCTGTACTTGAAGAGGCATGAGATTACTAAATAGATAGTTGACTGACTGATTCTTTGATTGCTGTACTTGAAGAGGCATGAGATTACTAAATAGATAGTTGACTGACTGATTCTTTGATTGCTGTACTTGAAGAGGCATGAGATTACTAAATAGATAGTTGACTGACTGATTCTTTGATTGATAAAATGTTGAACATGAAGGAGGAGAAGATGACTAGATTGATAGTTGACTGCAGGTTGACTGACTGATCGACCGTTTTATTGATAAAATGATGAATGTGGTTGACTGACTGATTAATTGTTTGATTGATAAAATTATGAACTTGAAGAAGAAGACGATTACTAAATTGATAGTCGACTGATTGATTCTTTGATTGATAAAATGCTGAACATGAACAAGAAGAAGATGGCTAGATTGATAGTTGACTGCAGGTTTGACTGATTGGTAGTTTGATAAAATGCTGAATATGAAGAAGAAGAACATGGCTAGATTGATAGTTGACTGCTGGTTGACTGACTAATCGATTGATTGATTAAATGTTCTCTTGACAGCCACCGCCACCATGTCCTCCACCATCAGACAATAGACAAGAAGACCGTCATTCCCCTGAACACACTGTACCCTGACCAGGCGACATACACTGTCTGCAACAGTTCTCTATCTGAATATGGTGTCCTTGGTGAGTGTTTTGATTCCTTTTTTTGTGTGTGTATCTTTAAGAGTTTGCTTGTTTACAATGTTTGTTCATTCATATTCTTCATTCAGTGTGTCTCCGACAGTCATTGCATCCTTTGTTCATTATCTGTACCTCTCTTTCATCATATCCCTTATCCATTGACAGACCACACACACAAAATGTCTGCAGATTGTTGTGTTTGTGCATATGTACTGTGCTTCATGGTGGCTCAGTTAAAGAGTTTGTGTTCACCTTTATATAACAACTTTCCTGTGTGGGTACCGGCACCCTATTTTGGGTTGGGGGAGGGGGAAGGTGTATCCGTTGCCCTGCTAAGCTAATCTGAAAATCACAAAATCACCAAACCCTGCTCTTAAGGACAGACACAGAAGATATGTCAACTTATTTCTATTGTTCATATAATTGATAAGTTACTGTGTCACATTGTTGGACACAATTTTTGTTATTTCGAAGCCCCAGACTGGCTGTTGCCGGGGCCCTAATATAACCCAACCTATGGGTTGGACGGGGTTTCTGGGACCTGTGTCGGGTGATCCTCCTCCGAATGGTGGCACTTTGTGTCCCCTGGTGTTTATGGCTCGGTGTGATGTCCTGGTTGGGTTAAACACCAGTTAGTCAGTCAGTTTATGTAATTCATAGCTCTTCTTCTGCACCAGGGTTGCATCGTCAGGTCCTCTACCTTATGTCCTTTTTCATTCATGACATTTCTGCCCTATATTATTGCAGAGGTACCTTTGTATTTTATAACGAAATGTTAATTCCCCATTTGGGTTCCAGGGCTCTATTTTGGGAGAGAAGACAAAAAAGAATAGACCCACTACGACCCAACAAGCATGTTGAAAAGGGTGACTATTTGGTGGTGATTGCTTCAAAGTCAGGGTGCATCTATGTAATGTGGGGAACCAACAGTCTGCACACAAATAAGTCATATCTGAAAAAACAGATGTGCATGTTAAAACTCAAGTTCTGGAACGAGTCAAATTCCAGAAGTGGACAAACAGCCAAAACTTTCTGCTGGAATTTTAAGCAGTGAACACTGAAAACAAAAAGTTTAGATATAGTGTATAGATCATCATCATCATCATCATCATCATCATCTCTACCAGGTCCTACGTAGAACACCGATAACATAATAGATCATCATCTAGCAGGTACTTTGTTGTGTTCCGCTCTCATCATGCTCTGCCTGTAAGAAACTCGGAGCCCAGTCAGCTCTCATACCTCATGTTCTTTCCTACCCAGGGTGTCTCTTATATCCTGCGCCCATCTTCAAGCTGGTCAGCCCCTGCCGCTCTTTCCTGGAACCATGCCTCCAACAGTCTGATATGGTGCTGGCTGACTTACTTAGTTGCTCAGTTGCTCCTCTCGTACCTTGGGGTGTAGAGGTTTGCCAGAGCAATGGCCAGACTTCTGTGTCAGCAGTTTTCTTTCCAGTGCAAAGATTAGTCACATTGTTCTCAAGTTTCCTCATCATTGTAATCTTCATTTATTGTCATTATTTCTGTTCTTTTGTTCATTTATTGTATATTTCCCCTAGATTCATTACAGTTACCTGTTGAAATTAGAGTTTGCTTGTTTGTTCATTCATATTCTTCACTCATTGTATCTCTGGCATAATTTGCATCGTTTTTTCATCGTCATTATCTGTACCCCTCATTCATCATATCCCTTATTCATTGACAGACCATACACACAAAATGTCTGCAGATTGTTGTGTTTGTGCATATGAACTGTGCTTCATGGTGGCTCAGTTAGAGAGTTTGTGTTCACCTTTATATAACAACTCCATTCCTTGAAGAAAGAATGTCAAATTTCTTCTCATGCTGTCTTATTTTCCTCAAATCTTTCCAGTGGTCACAACATGTTCCATTTCCCCCACTTTTCATAACATGACTGACTGTCTCTTTGTGATAAGTTGTCTTCAAGCACCTGCCTCTTTCAAAACATCTGGGTTAATCTTCTTAGCAGTCCAAGGAATTCTAAGGATTATTAATGTCCCAAGTGTGGTTACGCCAGTTTTCATGATTCATTCATAAATACTGCATCCCTTATCTGCCCCAACAGGTTTTGAACTTGGCTACTCTATAACCAACCCCAATGCTCTCGTTATTTGGGAAGCACAGTTTGGAGACTTTGTCAACACGGCACAGTGCATCATTGACCAGTTTATCAGCAGTGGACAAGCGAAATGGGTCCGGCAGTCGGGGATAGTGCTTCTGCTGCCCCACGGCTTTGAGGGGATGGTATGTGTAGACGTGTGTGTGTGTATACAGTTGCAGTAAATTTTGTATGTGTGTGCGCGCATGGTTGTATTGTGGTGTATGGTTGTAGTAAATAGTGTGTGTGTGTGGTTGTATTGTTTACGGTTGCAGTAAATAGTGTTAGTGTATGCCGTTGTATTGTAATGTGTGGTTGTAGTAAATAGTGTGTGTGTGCACGCGCGCAGGGTTGTATTGTAATGTGTTGTTGTAATAAATGCTGTGTGTGTTTGTGGTTGTAGTAAATAGTGTGTGTGTGCATGTGTGGTATGTCATAGTTATACAGACTGTGACTAGAATAGGTTGACAGCATCCAGAAGTCACGCCTAAACAAAACAAAAAAAAAAAAAAAAAAAATATATATATATTTTATATGAAAACGCCGCTGGAACTATGTTGGCCACGCCCTTAGAATGGATAAATCAAGACTTCCTTACCAAGCCCTCATTTGGACACCACAGGGGAAAAGATCTCGTTGAAGACCAAGGGAAACCCTACGTAGAACTATCATCAGGGAAGGCTCGCTAATGGGCCACTCAAACATCCAAGACCTACAACGGATTGCAACGAACCGCCATGCATGGAGAGTCATGACCTCTGCCCTATGTGTCGCACTCGACACAAGAGGAAAGACTAACTAACTATATATATATATATATATATATATATATATATATATATATATATATATATATATATATATATATATATCTTGGCTTTACACACCAGGACATGACAGGGTGAAGGGAAATGAAAGAGCTGACAGACCGGCGATGTCTGCAGTAATAAGTGAAGGAAGAAGTGTGGACAGGTCAGACATACTGAGAGTGATGCGTTCTAAAGACATTTAAACGCCTGTTGGAAGTGGGTATCAAACGAGGAAAAGCGTGCAGATGCCGGTTGTGGGGCAAAGAAGAAAAGATATGCTAGTCACCTCCTGCTGGCTACAGTGTGCTTGAAGACATTGAGGTGGCTCCTGCATCAGTTTAGTTAAGAATGGACATCACACAGCACTCGGGGCATTCCCATACCCACTCTGTCCCCATCCTCAACAGCCAGCGCAGAGTTCCAGTCGCAGTCTGGTCCGTCTTGCCTTTCGCCTGAGCATAGTATACCAGCCGAACCCTCTCTTCAAACCCAGGTGCATAATTCTTTCCAGCCCATAATAATCTAGTTTCTCTTCTAACTTCCTTACTTGTTCCCAAATGGCGCTGACCACATCTGCCTTGTCATGTATCACTTCACTACCCAGCAGTGCAGATACAGCCAAGCTGTCTCCCTGTTGGCTCCTGCATCAAAGTGCAGATACAGCCAATCTGTGTCCCTGTTGGCTCCTGCATCAAAGTGCAGATACAGCCAATCTGTGTCCCTGTTGGCTCCTGCATCAAAGTGCAGATACAGCCAATCTGTCTCCCTGTTGGCTCCTGCATCAAAGTGCAGATACAGCCAATCTGTGTCCCTGTTGGCTCCTGCATCAAAGTGCAGATACAGCCAATCTGTCTCCCTGTTGGCTCCTGCATCAAAGTGCAGATACAGCCAATCTGTGTCCCTGTTGGCTCCTGCATCAAAGGATGGAGAACACATGACCAATCTACTAGGATGTTGATATGGATAGCAAGTAATAGTGTGTGTGTGTGTGTACAGTATGTGTGATTGTAATGTGTAAATGTGATTGTAGTGTGTATGTATAGTTGTAGTGCATAGTATGTGCAATTACAGTGTAGGTGATATGCATAGTTATAGTGTGTGTACATTATGTGTGGTTTAGTAATGTGTATATGTGGTTCTAGTGTGTATATGTGGTTCTAGTGTGAATATGTGGTTGTAATGTGTATATGTGGTTGTAGTGTGTAAATGTGGTTGTGTGTAAATGTGATTGTAGTGTGTATATGTGATTGTGGTAACTTATAATTTAACGGAACATATATTGTCAGTGCTGAGGTAGTGCATGTAAGTGCTGCATGTATTTATGTTGGTTAGCACATGTAATAGCACATATATCTTATGTCACCTAGCACATTATATAGCACATATTAATGTTTAATAGCACACATAATAATGTTATACAGCACATGTATTCATGTTAGACAGCACATGTTTTCATGCCAGACAGCACATGTTTTCATGCTAGACAGCACATGTATTCATGTTAGACAGCACATGTTTTCATGCTAGACAGCACATGTATTCATGCTAGACAGCACATGTTTTCATGCTAGACATCACATGTATTCATGTTAGACAGCACATGTTTTCATGCTAGACAGCACATGTATTCATGCTAGACAGCACATGTTTTCATGCTAGACAGCACATGTATTCATGTTAGACAGCTCATGTATTCATGCTAGACAGCTCATGTATTCATGTTAGACAGCTCATGTATTCATGCTAGACAGCACATGTATTCATGCTAGACAGCTTATGTATTCATGCTAGACAGCACATGTATTCATGCTAGACAGCTTATGTATTCATGCTAGACAGCACATGTATTCATGCTAGTCAGCTCATGTATTCATGTTAGACAGCACATGTATTCATGCTAGACAGCTCATGTATTCATGCTAGACAGCACATGTATTCATGCTAGACAGCTCATGTATTCATGCTAGACAGCTCATGTATTCATGCTAGACAGCACATGTATTCCTGCTAGACAGCTCATGTATTCATGCTAGACAGCACATGTATTCATGCTAGACAGCTCATGTATTCATGCTAGACAGCTCATGTATTCATGCTAGACAGCACATGTATTCATGCTAGACAGCTCATGTATTCATGCTAGACAGCACATGTATTCATGCTAGACAGCACATGTATTCATCCTAGACAGCACATGTATTCATGCTAGACAGCTCATGTTTTCATGTTATGTTAGCTCATGTTTTCATGTTATGTTAGCTCATGTTTTCATGTTGTGTTAGCTCATGTTTTCATGTTATGTTAGCTCATGTTTTCATGTTATGTTAGCTCATGTTTTCATGTTATGTTAGCTCATGTTTTCATGTTATGTTAGCTCATGTTTTCATGTCGGATTGAATCGTCTCTCAGGGTCCAGAACATTCCAGCTGCAGATTGGAGCGATTCCTTCAGTCGAGCAACGACGACGCTGACTATTTTCCTGTAAGTTGTTGACCTGTGTCTTCGCAGCCTGTATTTCTTGTGGTTCTGTTTCAAACCTCCTTCAGTTAACCCTATAGCCACAAGAAAGCTAAATTAAACCACTTCCGGTTGTGGAATAGTCCCATAAAAGACCAGTATATTGCTATTTCTGCAATGACTTGTTCTCGAAAAGTGTACTTAAATGCCTAAATGGTTTTAATGGGCATCTGCACAGTGTTTAATAGGTCAGGACAGTACTAAAGTAATTCAAAATATCAACTCTGGTGGTTTCCTTATGACCCCAAAGGCGTTTATTAAAGAAAAGTTGATGTCAAATTTTCCTGTAAGCCTCAGTGATAAAGGTTACGGAATCACAGCATGAGTCACCTGATACATTTTGGATTTGTTAAGGACCCAGCCATTCAATGCTGCACTCTGTTCTTATTTATTAACACCCCTTATATATCTTCATATATTTAAGAAAAACAATTTAATTTGCAAGTGTAAATAAATGTAAACCAAAAAAAAAAAAAAAAATGTTTTTCAAGATTTGTCTCCATAACATTCTGAGTTCATGATTTGTTTTTGAAGATTTGCAGGGCAAAATGTTAAACAAATCCTGCGTGGATTCTGAAGCTTAGTTTTTTCTGGGCAAAAAAAAAAAGTATAGGCCTGTTGGGTTGAAAGGTGCAAGTTTCACAGCCTAGCTGTAAATCACATACATCATACCTACCACTCCTTTCTGTAAGAACACAGAATAAGAACAAGATGATCTTTGGAGAAGAATCTTTAATGGGGAGTGATAGTTGGTACAGTTTAAATGACTATTGAATTCTGGCATGCTCTGCTCTACACTAAAAAATGTGTAGGATATTGATGGACGTTAAAATGTGCTGCAATGATCACAGCACAGATGAGTAATCACTGGTTGTGCAGACAGAAAGACATGCTTGTCAGTAACATTTCTGCTGCAACACTTTCATTGAAACAGTGTACTATATGTCTTTTGATAATTTTAGCTTAAAGTTTTTTTTTTTTTAAATTGTGCTTCATTGTCTTTTTCTTAAAGTCCATGTCGTGTGACGTTGGTAGTCATGTCTATCCACAGCCTTCTAACTCATGTTCTTTTAGTCAGTTCTGACACAGATAATCCTCCATGCCATGATGTCAAACTGTCCAGCATTTTTTCTCTCGGTCTCCCCCTGCCTCTCCCCTCAAACTTTTCTACCGTCACAGTGTACTCCAGTTTTCTCTTTCTTATCATATGAGCACCGAATGTAGATTGTCTCTTTATAATTTTAGCAATCAGTTCTCTTCGTGAGTCAGTTTCTTTCAAGACATCTTCTTTACTCTTTATCCAGGGTATTCTCATCATTTGTCAATAAAATCACATCTCCGCAGCTTCCAAATACATTTTCACTAATTTACCAACCAGGTCCATGATCGGTTAGCAGATTAGGGTAAATTCTACCAACAGGAGATGTAAGGTGCCTCCTTCCCTTCGCTAGCCTGCGGGATACCTCATGGGCAGGGGTAGAGTACCCATTTAGCTCCCCGATTCAGGTTGAATGAAGTCACAGGAGGCAGGTGATGGGTAATCTACCATCAGGAGATGTAAGGTGCCTCCTTCCCTTCGCTAGCCTGCGGGATACCTCATGGGCAGGGGTAGAGTACCCACTTAGCTCCCCGATTCAGGTTGCATGAAGTCACAGGAGGCAGGTGATGGGTAATCGTGGTGAGCAGCTGAGAACTTTTTTAGTACTGGTCACAACTGAAACTATGCTAGGCAGAAGATGCCTCCATAGACACAATGACTAGGACAACCCGCTCAGTATGGACACTGCTCTTACAGACAGTAACTGCAACCTGCTGTGAGTATTTTGCAAAGCAAAGTCATGTCTGTACAACAGTAGATAAATAACAATGATGTAAAGGGGAGTTCAAGAACTGCCTCATCTGGTAGGGGCATGCATTTGCTACATGTGCAGCCAGACCTTCATCCGGTCACTGTAGGCAAACCAAAGAATGAGGCACTAGTCATTGGAACAAGTGAGAACACTCATGCAAGTAGGTAAACTGGAAAACTTTAAGAGTGAAATGAAAAGAATGCATGTAATCATCTTGGGATTATGTGAAACAAGACATATTGAAGCTTCATTGTATGTTGACTTAATTATGTAGCATCCACCTAAGGAGAATATAATTGAGTGCATTCTGAGATCATAAGTTCATTTCAGGAACACACCGGTTAGTTCACTAGTGCAGTTTAAAAAAAAAAAAAAAAACAGAGATCCCTGGGGATTGTTGCTGGAGCTAAGGAGATTGCTTTGTGCACCACTTTTTGCAGGTGGCTAGTCATACTGTGGAGAGAGACTAATCTATATAGGATAACCTAGTTCAGTTAACTTGATCCTCTTAATTTAACTTTAACCTTAAATGAACTTTTGCATTCTGTTTGTGCTTACTTATTTAAATCTCTGTTGTTGTTTTCAGCCTGAAGGTCCTAACTTTGAGATCCAACAGCTGCATGAGACTAACTGGTTTGTGGGCAACTTCACCACTCCTGCCAACTTCTACCATGCCATGAGGAGACAGATTGCCCTTCCGTTCAGGAAACCGGTGAGTTTTGAGACAGTTGAGTTGAGAATTGACAAGGCATTCCCATGTGTGCTCTGTCCTTATCTTCAGCAGCCAGCGCAGAGTTCCAATACTGATAGTACCGGTCACAAATCTGTTTATATGTCCCTCTTGCTTCTTCTGAGTGTAGTGAGCCAGCCAGACCCTCTGGTTACACCCAGGTGCATTTTGAGACAGTAAACTTCTGAACTCATGATATGAAAAGATATCAGGAAAAAATTCATACTGTCACTCTTTCATGACTTAGTCAGCATATGATTTTGTCCCTGTATCACTAATGAGTTAGTTGCCTTTCGTTTAAAAGATGTTGCAGAACCAACCCCAGAATTGTCCGCCTGTTTGGTTTTACTGGATACGTTTTATATTCAGTAGTTTGCCATTGCTTCCTAAATGGTCGGCTCTCGATACCACTTAAAGAACGAGGTCTGCTGCCATATTGCTCTCAGCTGGGATCGAACCTGACACCTCAACATAATGAAGCACTTTCGCAAAGCCTAAACCACAGATGCCAACATATCACTTATTTTATTTTGTTACATACAATTTTAATATAATCTAATGTCTTCATCATTTCCTATTTCCCATTGCTGTTTTTTTGTGTGGCCACAATGTCCTTTCTTTGTTTAATGTGTTCTGTAAAGCTGACATAAACTTGGCAACACATTTTTAAGTGAACAGATTAATACTTGGTAATAAAAACATATATGCATCAATTTAATTATTTAGGTAGTAACAAACATAGGGAAACACAAAGAAAGAAATTATGACACATGTTGGCAAGGCAACAGTTGCTTATAAAAGCTTGAACAAAATAGTGAACTCCAAATTATAAACCAAGTTTCACATTTTTACTTCTAATGTTATTTCAGTTTAAACATGTGCCAGTGACAGTTCAACTACTAGAGACATGGAAGGAAAGTTGCATGCATTTGAAAACAAATGCCTGAAGAAAAGGATGAACATAAAATTGCATGCATTCAAAAGGAGTGAAGTCCCCGTGTGGGTTCCGGTGACTTATTATAGGGAAAACAAGAACAGACCCATTGCCTACCCAAAAGCATGTTGAAAGAGTAATTGGGAGCTTCCTTTGAAGTCGGAGTGCATCTGCCTGAAAAAGAAGGAACTAGCAGTCTGCGTACAAATGAGTCAGATCTGTAAAATGGGTGCACATGCAAAACTCAGGTTTTGGAACACAACTGCAGTCTAGAAGTGGATGAACAATCAGAACTTTCTACCAGAGTTTACAGCTGGTGAACTCAAAGTAGAAGAAGAGTGAAGAAATAAATGCCTGAGCAACAACTAGTATCTACATTTATGAAATAGAGAAGGTAGCACTATATTTGACACATTCTGAGAAGAAACGAACTGAGAATCACCAAACAGGCACACAATTTAGAAATGGATGAATTGAGGAAAAGAGGATGTCAAGAAGAAATGCTAAGATGAATGTTGATGAGAGAAGACAAAGGTGCTGGACTGGATTCCATCCATGAAATCAAGGTGATGGCACAAGATAGATCAGAATGGAGACATAGACTGACAGCCCAGTGTGACATATAATGGCCCTATAGGACAGTGAAGGAATAAAAACAATTAGAGAAACAAACACTGTTCTTTGGCCACATAATGAGAAGAGAGACATTGGAGAACATCGTGACAACTGGAAAGATCAGTGAAAAAAGGGGTAGAGGCAGACCAATAGAGATGATGCTGGATGGGCTGAAACAATGGCATGGAGGAATATCATCAAGAGAGCTGTTCCAGGCAACCAGAGATCGTGATCTGTGAAGACACATGAGCGCCTATGCCAGTTGGCAGGGCACATGATGATGATGATCCTGATTAGCTATCAGACATACATTTTGAAGACACAATCTTCGTGGGTAACAATAATATGTGATGAAAAAATGCTCGGAATTGTTTTTCGCTGTTAGTGGTACTGCTTTTTTTGCTGCCTTTAGGTTACACGTTCAGAAAACCTCAGAACAATATAACTAGAACGACTTTGCACTGGAACCCACAGGGGCGTGAAAATAAAAGAAAAAAAAAAAAAAAAACACTTGGAGAAGGGAGCTAGATAGTGAAGTTAAAAAGATGGGGACAACATCGTCAACTGAATTCCATAGTTAAGGATAAAACAAAGTTGCATGATTTGGTTGAGGGACGGTGTTCCACTGGGAGTTAGAATAGAAGAAGAAGAAGATACTGCTTTTTAGCCTGTGTGTTTTTTCCTTTGAGCCTCTGATTTTCAGTGCAAGAGTAATCTTGTTATGTAATCTTTTTCTCGACTGTCCTGTTCAGTGCCAGCATCTTTTCCTCACCTCCTGATTCTGTATAATGTATTTACTTCTCTCTGAAATCTTTACATTTGTGGTTCTTCTTAGTTTAATTCCTTCTGTTCTGCATAGTTATCAGTAAATGAATGTTTATACTTTACAGTGGAACCTCGCTTAACGAGCATAATTCGTTCCAGAATTATTCTCGTTAAGCGAAACACTCGTTATGCGAGCAGTTTTTCTCAAATAAATTAATGTAAAATACGATAATGCGTTCCATGTTGACAAAAATACTCACAAAATGCTATGTATAAGTTATACTATAACATTTATTCAAAGAAAATTATATACATATGTAAGGAGAGTGAATCATCTTCATCTTTTCTTCAAACGCGGAACGAACCCACGCGGAATGCGAATTCGATTTGCAGAAATTTTTTTTTTTTTACTATAAAGATGTCCAGAAAAATTTGTTTTTGTCAACACTTCAGAATTTGGCGAAAATGCGACGCAGCATTATCATTAAATTTGTAGCGCGCATGGCCACTTCTTTATTAGGGTGATGCTTCTCAATGTGAGAAGCAACAGTTTCCCATGCTTTCAGCATTTTTCATATTTCGCCAGAAGATTGTTGCTTTTCTGTTACCTCCTCCTCCTCCTCTGACAAACTTTCCTCCAAAACTTCTTGTTGTGAAACACAATGCAACTCCATAAGCTCTTCAATGGTCAGCTCTTGGCTGTGCTCTTCCACAAGCTCTCCGATATCACTGTTGTCCACCTACAATCCCATGATAGTGGCCAAAGACACAATCTCGTTGACTACAGGTTCCATAGGTACTGTCTTGAACCCCTCAAAGTCACAAATCGACAACACTCTCCAGTCAAAGCTTCCTCCAAGAAGAAGTTATGGTTCCCTTGGTAACCCCTTCCCCTGCCTTGTCGATCATCTTGAGGCAGGCAACGATGTGGAAGTGATTTTTCCAAAACTCTTTGAGAGTAAGGTTGGTCCCTTCAGTACCCTGAAAACAAAGCTCGAAGAGTGCTTTAGTTTAGAGCTTCTTAAAGTTAGAAATAACTTTCTGGTCCATAGGCTGGAGTAACGGAGTGGTGTTGGGAGGCAGAAATTGGATCTTGATGAACTTAAATTCATTAAGGAAGTCATCTTGTAGGCCTGGAGGATTCATGTACATTTATCACAATATAACACAAGTTTGAGAAAATGTGTGATCACAAGCGACAATGCTACTGGAACAAGTGTTAAACACTGATGTAACATGCGCTAAATCCGGGACTTCCCCTCTCCTCGCCACTCGTTATGCGAAACGTCGCTCGCTAAGCGAGTCATTCTTTTACAATTTGTTTAGCTCGTAATGCGAATTACTCGTTATAAGAGGTGCTTTTTAAGCGAGGTTCTACTGTATTAGTAATTATTGTACTCAATCTCACTGTTTCAGCTTATTGTATGCACACCAAAGTCTTTGCTGCGACTCCCTGAAGCCCGCTCCAGTTTTGATGAAATGGTTACAGGAACTCGCTTCCAACGACTCTACCCAGAAACTGGCGAGGCAGCCAAATCTCCGGAGGCTGTAAAGAAGATTGTATTTTGTACTGGAAAAATCTACTACGAATTGATCAAGGAGCGTGAAACTAGACAGCTCAACCCTGACATTGCCATTGCTCGCATAGAACAGGTAAACATATAAGTTCACATATAGAACAGGTAAATATTTAAGTTCACATATAAAACAGGTAAACAAATAAGTTCAAATGTAGAACAGGTAAATAACTCAGTCTTTTTAAATAGAGCAGGCAACAGTGCCATTTCCTATAAAGAGCAGGTAAATGTTGCTATTTCTTATATAGAGCAGGTAGATATTGCCATTTTCCATATAGAACAGGTAAATATTGCCTTTTGTTATATAGAACAGGTAGATATTGCCTTTTCTTATATAGAACAGGTAGATATTGCCTTTTCTTATATAGAACGGGTAGATATTGCATTTTCTTATATAGAACAGGTAGATATTGCCTTTTCTTATATAAAACAGGTAGATATTGCCTTTTGTTATATAGAACAGGTAGATATTGCCTTTTCTTATATAGAACAGGTAAATATTGCCTTTTCTTATATAGAACAGGTAAATATTGCCTTTTCTTATAGAACAGGTAGATATTGCTTTTTCTTTTATAGAACAGGTAAATATTACCATTTCAAATGTAGAATAGGTAAACATTGCCATTACTTATATAGAACAGGTAAATATTGCCATTTCTTTTATAGAACAAGTAAATTTTGCCATTTATAATAAAACAGGTACATTTTGCCATTTTCTATATAAAACAGGTAAATATTGCCATGTCTAATTTAGAAAAGGTAAATAGTCATTTCTTGTCTAGAACAGGTAAAAACTCATTTCAAATGTAGAACAGATAAACATTCCCATTTCTTACGTAGAACAGGTAAACATTGCCATTTCTTACGTAGAACAGGTAAATATTCCCATTTTTTACGTAGAACAGGTAAACATTGCCATTTCTTACGTAGAACAGGTAAACATTCCCATTTCTTATGTAGAACAGGTAAACATTCCCATTTCTTACGTAGAACAGGTAAACAGTGCCATTACTTATACAGAATGAGTAAACAGTGCCATTTCTGTTATTGATCAAGTAAACAAAGCAATTTCTTATACAGGACAGGTAAATATTGCTGTGTCTTCACTTAAAATACTGGATGTAAATTTGCCTAGAAAAACCACACAACAGCTGGTCGCTGTTGGGGTTGGTTCTGCAACGTCCTGTAAAAGATACGCAACTAACCTTATTCACCAAATTTTTTACCAACGGATCAACATCATGGCACTAGGGTAGTAACCCAAAAGTGCTTCGTTCTACTGACTCAAGCCTGAGTCTGTAGATTCTCAGCGCAGTACACGAACTCCTGAAATACTTTGGGTACATTTTTAACTGAAAATTTTGTCAGGGCAGTGTCGTTATTCTACTCTTTTTCGATTTCCCACTGAATAGATATTTTATGTGCGCAACAGTACACACGGGCGTCCGATCTTTCTACCAAGACACCAGCAATCGAGGCAGACCCCATGCCTCAAGACCATGCGACACCCCTTGGGCTGTTTGTGAAGGCTGTTGTATAGTGTCACCAGTCAGATTGTGTCAGTGGCCACATGTTTGTTCACTGTTGCTGAGAATGTGTTTGTTAGATAGTTGGATTTTCCTAGAGTTGGCTTGTTAATTTAATCTGTTCCTGGTTTGCTCACAGCTCACCCCGTTCCCCTTTGACCTGGTCAAGGCTGAGCTAGAAAAGTACCCCAAGGCCATCGTTTGCTGGGCTCAGGAGGAGCACAAGAACATGGGGGCCTACTCATATGTCGAGCCCCGTATACGTACAGTCTTCAGAAAATTGGGCATACGTAGACGAGTGGAGTAAGTTTGGGATTGTTCTGTTGTTATGAGTTTTTCTGTTGTGAACTGTTGTGTTCTGCGGTGAAATGTTATGATGTGAGTTGTTATGATGTGAGTTGTTATGGTGTGAATTGTTATGTTGTAAAGTATTATGTTGTGAATTGTATTGTGACTTGCTGCGTTGTAAATAGTTGTGTTGAATGGTTATGTTATGAATTGTTTTATGAATTATTATGTTGTGCACTGTTATATTGTGTTGTCAATTGTTATGTTGTGAACTATGTTTTTAATATATTACACTGTGAATTGTTTTGTTATAAATTATGTTGTGCACTGTTATATTGTGTTGTGAATTGATTTGTGCTCCAGGTTTAGTCCCTAGCAGGGACTAAATATTCACCCACTGACCAGCTGACCTCTGAAGTGGACTCAACACTGAAAAATAGACAGTGGATGATTTTCTGTGAATTGGCTGGGGAAAGAAAGGTGTCAAGGAAATGCAATTGCTCATATGCAGTGGCCTAGAACAAGTGATACACCAACATTTGACAATACACCAACATTTGACAATACACCAACATTTGACAATACACCAACATTTGACAATACACCAACATTTGACAATACACCAACATTTGACAATACACCAACATTTGACAATACACCAACATTTGACAATACACCAACATTTGACAATACACCAACATTTGACACCCCACCAGCAGCTTCGGCCACATGACTGGCTTTACCGTGACTAAAAAGATATCGTACCAGATGAGAAATAGAACCAGTAAGCACGACATGATCACAAACTACCTTTACTATGACTGAAAAGATATCAAACTGGATAAAAAGTAGAACCAGTAATCTTGACATTATCACAAACACAAAACTCTCAAGGCACAGATCGATCATTATGGTCTGAAGAGACTGGTACAGCTGGCAGTGACCAGGGAATGTGGCTGAAATTCTACAGTCTAGAGAAGACGTGAGACAGACATATAATCAAACTGCTCTGACACCACTGTAATTGAAACAGGCTGCTGATGATGAGGAGGGAGCGTTCATGGGAATGTCCCAAATGCTATGATGTCAATACTTAGCTCAACACTTAACAACAGCACGCGAATGATAAGTGAATTTTGCACCTAGAGGGCCTTAATGAGCACATTAATTGAATATACAATGCCATGAACATGAATAGACAATCACTTAATTGAAGCGTCACCAAGAGGAATCACATATCTATTGAATCTCTGACACATGTGTGACCACCACCGGCAATACATACTAGCCAGAAAAGAAAAAGCTGTTAGGTATTAAATCCCTTTGACAAATTGGTGCCCATTAGATTAAAAAAAGGCGGTTCTTTAGGAATTTACGGACTCTGCCATCAGAGTGACTTGTCTTGATGGCCATGTCAAAGATGCCTTGGCGACCCGGAGAACTGACATGCAATGGCACTGGTTGGAGGGCACTGGTTGGAGGGCACCGTTCTGCACATTGGAACCGGTCAGCTAGTCGTAGTAATGTGGTTATATGAATTGTTTTGTGGTGATGTGTTACTATGAAAGTGTACAGTTGTTTTCCCTCCTTCCCTTTCAGGTATGCTGGGAGGTTTGCCTCAGCCGCGGCCGCCACTGGAAACAAGCAGATGCATTTGATAGAACTGAGCCAGCTTTACGATGCTGCCATGAATACATCACCTCGGCTGAGTGAAGAAGACTTTTAAATCAGTGACATTTTAAATTGTGCGTGGAATACTGGTTTTATCTGTCCTTTCAGTGATCGTTGACTCTTCTTGCTGGTAGAGTTATAAATTGTAGGAACGTTACAGCTGTAAATTATAGGTCTGTCATGAATGCTGTAGTTATGTAAAATGTTGCACATAATAGGTCCATAATGAATGTTTCGGTTATATAACATAGGTTCATGATGAATGTCCATAAGCCCTAGGTCTGCGGTGAACATTACGTAATGAATGTTGCAGTTATACAACAGAAGACAGGTTCATAATGTCTATTGTGGGTGAAAGGAGGATTTTGACACAAGAATACATTTGTTTTTGGCTTTTTTGAGAGGTTTTGACATTAAAATAAATGCCTGGTGTTTGGAAATGGTTGTTTGTGCATGAGAGAACAATTGATTAACTCATTGATTGTGTTTTAGGAACAAATGTGTGAAAATACTCATTTTATGACAGAGCACATGACAGGAACAATTCAACTGTTGTCAGTGTAGGGTCAGTTTTGTCTCTTCCTTGACTGGTATGGTATCTTCATGATTGTTTGATTTTATCATTATTTAGTTTTATCCCTTTTCACAATGATTACATTATTTTAGATGTGTTATATCTTAATATCTTAACCTACTCAAGTTGACACAGAAAATAAGACTTTGTCCAGTGTATCTGTTTGTTGAACATATATTATTTTGATGAATTTAAGGTTTGTAATTTGCGTATTTAACCTGATTTATAGAATTTTAAATCATAATTTATTTGAAGAAACCCCAGAATCTGTATACATATTAGAACAGGACTGTTCAACTGGGAGCCATCGGGCTAAATCTGGCCCACGGAACCCCAGGAAGTAGCCCACAAAACATTGCCAGTTGTATTCTGTTAATGATCTTTGTTTGCTGGCGCTCTGGCCTGTGATGATTCTGATTTTCAGAATTGTAACCCCTGTGTAAACCTAGTTCTTCTTCTTACATTCACTGGCTGTAAACTCCGGGGGAAAGTTCTGGTTGTTTGTCCACTTCTGAACTTAGTCTTGTTCCAGAACCTGAACTCTGCCTGCACACCCATTTTACAGATCTGCTCTATTTGTATGCAGACTGTTGGTTTCTTGCCTCACAGGCGGATGCACTCTGAAGGAAGCCCCTAGTTGGTCGACTTCTCATGACATGCTTGCAGGGGAGGTAATTGTTTTATTCTTGTTTTCACCACAATGGGGTCCCCGGAATTCACACGGAGATAAACCTTGTTGAATACCCCTGTATCAGAGCAAGATGCCAATTGTGGGGCAGGGCTGAAATTCTATAAACATTGACAGGATCAAATGGTGGTTGGAGCCAGAAGTCTCGGTCCATTATTCTGAGTCGTGTCATTCTTATTTCTTTGTGTGTTTCTTTGATCAAATCCTGTTCTTTGAATCTCTGATAATGTTCAGGTTTTACCTTTTGTGTTACAGTTTTAAAGTTGAAAAAAAATGTATGTTTAGCTTCTTAAATTTAAGTTTTATGCTCGTTTCATTTCTAAGCTTTTGTTTCGGTTTTAAGTCTGTATCAGTTTTAAGCTCTTGTTTAGTTTAAACTTCTCCAATTTCCGTTATAATCGCATGTCTTACAAGTAACCCCTTCTTTTCCAATTATGAACTATGTCAGTGTCTTACTCTTGAATTTCTGTTTTAACCTCTTTAATGTATGTTTTATGTTACCTATCTCACAATGAACCTCGTATGCATTAATTATTACCTCATACCACTTTTACCACAAACAGAAGGTAATACTGTTTCAGCTACGTTATGAGAAGAAATAAAATAGAAAATATTGTGATAACTGAAAAAAGAGACAAGAGGAAGACAATGTGAGAAGATTCTTTGTAGCCGTTTGTCATGACATGGAGGTGTGAGCACATGAACTGGTATGTACTGTTGGAAATCTTGGGTCGTGAAATGGCATGATCGCCCATGCCAGTTGGCAGGGCACTTGATGATGATTCTCTCTTGTGTTCAGTTATAATCGAGCCTGTCCTAGTCTCATATCTCAGCTTGAACCTGTGTTTATGTCAGCAGACAGGTTGTGTTTACAGGTTGCTGGTTTTGTTTATAATTTTTCGATAAACAAAAATGTTGGTTGCTTTTAAAGCTGGGGTTATGGTGACAAGCCAGTTGTGGTCTGACTCATTGTGCAGCAGACTCATTGCGCAGCAGAGTCATTGCACAGAAGAGTCAATATGCAGCAGACTCATTGTGCAGCAGATTCATTCTGCAGCAGACTCATTGCGCAACTGAGTCATTGCGCAGCAGAGTCACTGGGCAGCAGAGTCATTGCACAGCAGAGTCATTGCACAGCAGATTAATTGCGCAGCAAATTCATTGTGCAGCAGATTCATTGTGCAGCAGATTCATTGTGCAGCAGAGTCATTGCGCAGCAGAGTCATTGCGCAGCAGAGTCAGTGTGCAGCAGAGTCAGTGTGCAGACTCTAGAATCATCTCAGTGCTAGCTTCGTTACACCTTTTTGGTCTGTTCTGATCTTTCTCACTTAATCTTTGCACAAGCCGTGTCTCTTTCTTCACACTTTCCTCTCCTACTGAGACAAGAGTCTAGTGAAAATTAAAGATGTTATGAATTAATTAAATGTTGCCTTTCATTTCTTGTTTGTAAAGGGAGGTTGGGGGGGGGGGGGGGGGTGTTGTCTGTGCGTGTGTACTTGTACTGATTGTTTCAACTTCTCTTCCTCTCTTACTCTCCTGCTATTCTCCCTTCTTCTGTTTGCAATCTCTGTAATAAAAAACATCATTCTGTCTCGCATGCTGTAATATTTTGGTCATATTTAGCACCATTAGAAAAAAAAAATAGCAGAAGGCACGGTGCCAGGAAGGAGGGGGCAGGAGCCGACTAACACAAAAATGGGCACAGTATATAAGTGACTCCTTGACTATGAAAATGCATGAGGCGGGAGAGCTGACAAGAGACCGAGTTTCTTTAAGGCAGATCATGATGAGAGCGACGTTCTGCAAAGGACCTGCTACATGACGATAAGATGATGTTGAGGCCGACCTCTACTACAATATAAAGATATGTACAAGCAGGACATGAATGATACTGGTATTGAGATGGACTCCTGTGAACTAAATGCCATGGACCATGTTGTGCGGAGGGAGCACATCAGGAAGGAAATGAGAATGCAGGAAAAGAAATGACTGCAGAAAGGATGAGAGCTGAGCGTCTGGGAAGCAGCAGACTAAACACAGATGTTGACAACGGTCCTGATATTCCAATGTTATAATTGTCGAAGACTTTTTTTCACTCAAGTTCTTGCTAGTCACCCTCGCCCTCGCCATGGGCTGTGACTCCTATGTCTCCACACAGCGCTAACACTATTGTCTGTAAAGACGGAAAGGTGCCAGTCAAAGTGAAGCTATAAAAATAAATTGTAAAGATATAAAAGTTGGCGAAAAAGAAAACTAGTGAGCTCTACATTATCACAATCACAGATGACAAGTGAACATTGCGGCTTGAAAGCTTTCCTTAGCACATTACATGAAAATATAATTACGAACACAGTAACGCAAAATTGCCGACACGAGTCATCTCTGAGACAAATTAATTATGATGGTGATGAGGTAACAAGTAAAATGATAATTGTGCTAATGATTACAATGATGCTAATAACGAAGTTGTCGAGATGATGAGGATATATTGGAGTATAGTCTGTTCACATATTTCCAGCACACAATGTCACTCAGGCAGAGCTGTCTAAAGGGGAGATAACAGTTGACTCTAATATCTGAGGGTGTTGGGTCAGGCCGTGTTGAGTGAGGGTATTTCTGGCTGCAGAAAGATCCGTGTTGACATAAAATATATAGATATATGTATGGAATATTTCTGGCTGCAGAAAGATCATATATATATATATATATATATAGATAAAATACCCACACATTATATATATATATAATGCCTTGCTTTGCTGAGAGAAAATTGTGGCGTTTAGCCAGCATCGTCAAAGGGGGAGCTCTAGATTATAATATAACCAGGTTAAGTGCTCCAATAAAATTGCTCGCCACCAAGTATCTCTGAAAAGCAGTCTAGCAGTGTTGATGCGATCAAAGGAGACATACCCAAATACTGGCTTGAAATATATATATATATATATATATAAATAATGTATGAACACATGTCGCTTTACGTCAAACACATATATCAGTTGTTGGATAATCCCTTTTCCTGCTTCTGCGAGTGCTGATTAATCAGTCAGCAGGGAAGGTTAGCAGCAGTTAATCTCCAGCATTCTGCTTTAAACTCTGGTCGTCTATTATCCTCCTGTGTGTAGCAATGTCTACTTCTTGCTCTCCTACCTTTTTTTTTGTTGTTGCCTACGTTATGGTTTTCAAAAGAGTGTTATGTCTTTTATTGTGGCTGAAGTATTTCAGCTGTGCATTTCTTTAAAATTTCATTTTCTTTCAGTGATTCTCTTTCCATTCCTTGTATTTCCAGAATCGCTCTATTGAATAATATTTGTTTCCGTGAAATGCGACCTATTTTGTCGGCAAACCCACATCTTTAGAGACTCAGTTTAAATTTCTAGTTGCGTGTTCACCACAACAACGAAATTCATAATCTGTTTAAATTACCAATGATCACTGGCATCATGAGAGCTAAGAGACTGAAATGGTCGGAGACATAGTGAAAAAATATCAGATGACAGAGAAGTAAAACTATATTCGAGGGAGATGAGTGGTCGTAGACCACAAGACAGACCAAGAAGACGATGGAGAGATAATATCCAGACAGACCTGCAAACACTTGGTGTCCACCAACTGGAAAAGAGTCGGCCAACCAGAGAGATGAATGGAGGCGGGTGATATCTGTAGCAATGAACCTCAAGAGCTTGGAATGCTGAAGAAGAAGATGTTGTATGTTCACTGTCCAGGCTTCTGCTTCTCCAGCGATAACACTTGACGATTCTCATGTTTAACATGTTGTTTATCTCTGCAGCTGTCA